TCTCCGGTAACTCTCTGTGGTCCTGAAACAATGTTGAGAGTGCTCAGAGTCTGTTTTAATGCACATCTTGGGGTTCCCACAGGTTAACATCAGTATTCCGGGGGCGTCTCCCTATAGTTCGCCTACAACATGTCAAAGTTGAAGTGCATTGCGATTGTACTTCCCATTAGGCTATTTTAATCTTGCTGCGTCGGAAACATTTTAGTAAGGATGTTATTATAAATTTAGCAAACCGATGGTGAAATTAACTTTGTCAACTAACTTTAACTTGCATTTGACCATGCTGTGTCAGTTTGTTGCATGCCATATTTTCTTTGTGGACTTAAACAGGACAGATGTTGCTCTCCAGTTTTAACTGTGATGAAACACAAATGTATGTGGTTGAATTTATTCCGCCACTGTGACACTTTGGAACTGTCTGTGAAACGATATAGGCTATGGCTTATCGGCTATCACGGTGCCATTAAATGCTTTTCTAATGGGTTATAGAGAAAACAACACAATTATCACAACATAGGTTGTAAAAAAAAAAAATTGCCTGGGGAAGCCTGGCTTGGCATCCCCATTGATTTTACCCACGCACCGCTACTTGTGTGAATGTGAGAGAGCGAGAGATGTTAGTGGCATCCCACTACAATTAGGCCAGAGTGTCCTTTCATTTTTCACACAATTAAAACGGCAGAGGCAACTAGCCCAGGGGGCTGACCACACACAGCGCCATTAACAGTTCAAAGACCTCGATCCATCCATTCCTCATCCATCAAGCCATCTACCGATGTCAGAGGAGACTGTGTGTGGTTCCCTCAAGGGAGGAGGAAGCCTGTAATTATGGAGGTTCAACCATTTGCTGACTGAATAATGCATTGCGTCGAACAAAAAACAGGAAACTAAAGTATATGTTGCTGCTACAATGTCTCAAAAACCAGCGCAAAAACAAACAGACCAGAATATGGAACAGGAAAACAAATGTTGCCACTTGGGCAGTGTAGGTGAACATGTGCACAAAGCTGTGAAAGTAAGTGGGAAAGGAAGAATGTTCTTTCAGGTGTGTACGTGTTGCCCTTACCGATCTGCTTCTCAATGTCTGCGGCCTCGTCCGGCGTGGCCCGGGGCAGGATGCCAGGGTCAGTGAAGCTGGTGTGCAGGAGAGAGATGACCGCGAACACAAACAGCACTCCTCCAATTGCTGGGATGAACACGGTCAGGTGCTTCACCAGGAAGGGACAGCTGTGATGACAGGACAAAAAGAGGACCATATTCAGCAACAATTGAAGTGGACTACCTTATATGTTAAAACTAAGGTGGCGTTTACACAGGCAGCCCAATTCTGATCCTTTACCAAATTATTGCAAAAGAGCTGATCTGATTGATCAAAAAATACAAAAAATAGGCCAGTTTCTGTGTTTGCAAACATTGCCGCACGAGGGCGATGTGCACACAATTTGGTTGCAGAAACCTCTCCCTGCTAATACGTAAACCGCTAGTTAAGGATACCGCTAGTTACAGATGCAGAAAATCTGTGTGGAGCTCAAAATGTTGAGCTTAAGTATTCGTTTTTCACAATGTATTCTGAATATTACTGTGCATTATCAGCGCAAGATCGGGAGTGCTTCTCCAGAAAAATCACATTGAGCAATACTCTGAATTGCTATTCACAATTTCCCAACCGTGGGGGAAAACACGGGAGTTAGACAGACAGCAAAAAAAGCCTCCATTTACATGTTGCTTATGAGCGCATTTCACACTACTTTTGGATTATAATTGGATTGTAAGTCTTGTATAAAATGTTCTGCTTAATAGAATTGTGTCATCGTCGCCAATCAACTGCATTATACTTCAAAAACACTTCAACCAGTAAAATAGCTATTTGGCTAGCTTTGTTACCAGCCTATGCCAATGAGTGTTAGCATTCTAGCTAACAACTGCTGCATCTAAAATAGGTATTTTGCAACTATCACAACCAAATATAATCTTAGGGACTATTCAAGCAATAATCAAAACATTATAAGCCTATGAGATCATCAGAAAGTTTTTTTCAGAAGAGCTTATTTCAGTGGTAATACATGCGCACTGACTGACGATGGGCGACTTCCCGTGCGCGTCTGTGAGTGACGTCAATGTGTCGGTACTGAAACGAAAGATCAGAATTGGGCTGCCTGTGTAAACGCAGTCTAAAGTGTTGTGTAGGCTGCCTTCATTAAGGTCATTTTTTCCCCTCACCAGGACAACTAAAGACGTTAAGATTTATTGCAGAGCATTGCAACAACAATCAGGACCCTGAGTAACCACATGAAGGACTAGTTCTCATTTTCAACATTAGAAACTGAAAATGCTGTCAAACCAGACTGACACGCAAATAGTACAATTGAGTTTCTCAACCACCCAGAGAGGATCTGGTTTTAGACAACTCACTTTTTAATCACCACTGTAGCATAGTCTCAGGAGATGCAACACACATTTCAACAAGACACTTGCAGGAAGATGTAATGACATTTTCTAGTATTAAAACTATTATTCTATTCCAGAATCTGCTGTGTTGTGTAAAGAGCCAGACGCACAACCAAACTTACCATGGTTTGTTGAAACCTGTGAATTGTTTTCTTGGCTAGGGCAAACATTATTTTGCGTCAAATAAATGCAAAACAAAAAGAGAACTTGTACTTACTCGAATACAAAGAACAGTACAGTGGTGACCAGAATGAGGCCGAGGGTTAGTGGTAGGACACCGCTTTGTTGAGCCACGATGAACCGTCCATCGCAGTAGAAGCGATTCTTGCCGGGGAAAACTTCCCATTTTCTCCGTGCCCTTTCTTCCTCCTTCTCTTCTTCAACAGCGGGTCGCGGCGGCAGGGTCGGGGTTGGTGTAGGCGTTGAAAGTGCCTGCGGGTCGATTTGTTGGTATTCGCAATTTTTCATGATTTACGAAAAACGGTGGCTAGTTTTGATTTCTCCTGGTTTTGAGCGTCCGGAGCAGATAAACAGTCACCGATATCTTGCTAGCTAGTTAGCTACCTAACTACATAGGCAGCTAGCTTGCTAACAATAACATCGACTAGCGCGTTGCCAGTGACGTTAGCTACAAACATGTTCCAGTAAATGAGAGTGGAGCATGTCGTCATTGAATCAACAACAATACCACCAAGCGTATCCAGTGTATGAAAATAATGTCCTCAAAATATACACTCATTGAAGAGAACAATTCGACTTTCATATTATCCATCCTATCTGGCTAACTAGCAGCTGTGCCTGTGCGTGACCCATTTAATTGGTGAGACCGCTTAGCTGGCTAGGCTAACGAAAGCTAGGCTAATGTTAACTAGTTAGCTAGCCCAAAATTCAGTGATGAGCAGACTAACGTTAGTGGATAATTTAGTAGCTAGGTAGAAAGCATATCCTATGAACAGCATATGTATATGGTACCATACCAGGGTTCTGTCTAATACAGACAGTTCAATTTGATCCTATATGAGACCACCAACTCCTACACTTCCAGCCAGGCAGAAAGTAATGTTGAAATTTCCCGGTGGTGATGTTGACAGATGATGGCTTTTGTCGGAGTTTTCTTAGCTACGAATCGACGCTAACTAACCAACTGCAGACAGTCTGTTAAACATATACATTTGAATCGAAATATCATTTGTTTTGGTCTTGTCCAGTCTATTAAATTCAGGAACGCGTACAGGTCAGGTGTACTTATCTCTTATCGTCCAGCCCTATAGAAGAGGATTTACTCCGCCCAAAATCTGTCTGCGCTTTTTTTATATGGAGGTCTATGAGTGTCGAATTACGTGAGGATTATTTGAATAGACGTTTCGTAATGTTTAGGCTGTTACAAATGTACTGATATACTAACTGTAAGTCGCTCTGGATAAGAGCGTCTGCTAAATGACTAAAATGTAAATGTAAAATGATATAAGTGGATGCACGTAGCATTCCAGCAACTTTGAGAAAAACCACTAAGGGTGCGTTCATAAATTAATTTAGGCTATCTACTCGGATTTCAGAGTACTTTCGTTTGAGTGTGCCAGAGCGCAGAATAACTCATGCATTTACGAACGCGCAACACGCTTTGAATATGACAGGTGTCCGTAAAGGTTGGCAAAAACGAATGAAATTGTTGCTAGCAGCACAGTTACAGTCACTAACGCTCTAGATAACATGAAAACAGACTAACTAGCTCTGCTAGGGTGAGTAAAAGGGTCAGAGTGAGGTGTTCTCGTACTTGTGTCTCGAAGTAGCAAGCTAGAGTGCGCTCTGAATTTACGAACGGACAATCTGACAACGCTCTGAATTTACGAACCCTTACTAGTTGTGCTTGTTGTTCACACTCCTTTTATTGTCTATGGGCTAGAATGGTCCCACCTGACCTCACACGCCTTTACTAATTGAGGACATGTATTTCCATTGTTAGAGTGGTCACTGGGCTATCTTGTCAATATAATAGATAACCTTTGGTTATGATTGCTTTGAAATGTTTACAACACATTCACGGTGTTCATGATTTTCTGTCAAGGAATGAAATCAATATTTTCCCTTACATCCTTTTCTTTTTATGGTCTATGCTTACACAACAGACACATGAGGAAAACTTTAGTGGGATACTTACCAGTATCTTTGCTTACACCTGAAAATGCAAAATTCAGGTAGCTACTTTGCATTGTTATCATATTAACCATATTAAATCATGAACAAGTGACCAAATAATGTCAATGCAAAATTATTTTTTATTAAGCCTAGATATTTAGAAAACGATGTTTCTGCAGTTCCATTAGTTGAATGTTTTCACTGCTGTTCCTCTGGGGCTTGGGCTGGTGTGGTTGCTGGATGACATGAAGTCTGGAGAATCCCCCTGGAGGAGCTTACACACCAAATTCTCAGTGATCTCAGAGGCTGCTAGGGATGTGTTTGAGATGGCTGCAGAGGTGCTTGGAGGCTCGCTGAAGAGACTGTTGTTGCTCTTGACTGGACAAGTCAGCTGAGCCACCATCCCACTGCTTCTACTACTGGTCCTGGAAATGTCCAAGTCCATGGAGCTGACCACCCTTTTTTAGAGAATAAGGGAAGAAAAAAATATAACTTTATTAGTCCATCTTGCAAAGGATATTCAAAAATGTATCTGAAACCACCAGCCCTTCAGTTGTAATTTCAGTTCCCACATTTTTTAAATTGCCCTGCCCTGGATTTGAACCAGTGACCTTCTGGCTACTGGTCTGCCTCTAACCTCTGGGCTACTTACCTCTTGGCAGCCTGAAGAGTACGAAGAGGTCGGATTCTCCTCCTGCTGTCCTCTTGGACAGGCTTCTTATCCCTCTGGCTGTTAGTGAGGGTGGGGCGAGGAGGGGGGGTTGGCACCAGTGTTCTGGTATTCATACCCAACTTCACAGCAGAAGCTCTGCTTTCCTTTGTATCTGTGGAAAGAAAATGTTTATAAAATAATATACAGTAGCCTATGGCATATTTTGCACCAAATTCAATCTAATATGTGGTGTGATGAATATCATAAAGGATCGATAAAGGTATTCAGGACTCCTACCTGAGACTGTGTCAACTGGAATCTGAAAAGCACTATCCAGAGACAAGGAGCTAATGATGCAATTGGTCATCAATGTACACAGCATACCAATCAGCTCGTCCCGTTTCAGTTTGCTCCGTGGCGAGAGCTCGGAGGGAGACTCGGTAGTGAATCTCCTCTGAACACTCAGTGGCCTACACTGGTTCTCTGTGAGAGAAGAGAGAGTGATTTTATTTACAATTAGGAAACATTACATAGTATCAATAGCGAAGAAGGCTGAATTATTTGTTTATTTATACATTTCATAATAAATAAATAAAATAGATAATTTCCTCTGTCGATCTTACCAGGATCCTTTCCTGGCTGAGGACTGGGAGACATCGCCCACTGCTGGGGACTGGTAGAAGTAGACATTCCTTCTCCTAGTTCTGGGAGAGACACCCGCTCACCTGTCAGCTTATGCACAAACTTTTCCACAGTGGTTTTTAGGAGGTTCACGGAGGACCTGGACATTCTAGCCTTGATCTTGATAGAGCGCTGCTGGTTAACATCACTGATTCTGATTGGACCACAGTTTGGGACCGTTGCCCCAGAGACTTGAGTGAGATTGTGAGGCACTCTATCAACTAGGTTTGCCATGCTTACTAGGCCTGACAACATGGCAACATCCCGCGGCTCACAGCTTTTAGGAGGAAGCACATCCTTGGCCATCTTCTGTGGGGTTACATTCATGCTGATGGAATGGGAAGGCTGCACCCTGGTCTCCATAGTGGGTGATCTGATGGTGATGGTGGAGATATGTTGTTGTTTCTCTGTCTTGACATTCTTTGATGACTTGGCGGACAATGACGGAGTGTTGAGACAGCCTTTGACTGGAGCAGTAGACCCCTGCTGGGGAGGCTTGGTGTTCACCTGAGGAGGATGGCACTCAGTCACACGTTTAAACATGGTGTCAGAGATAGTCGTGGACATGCGGTCAACTGCCCAGGTGCTGCATGCCTCGTCGCCTGTTCCGTGACTCTTAAGCGTCTGCAGAATCTCCATGAAAGCACATTCTACCTCGAGGCAGCTCTCCGCCATCTTCTGCGCCAAGTGCTCTCTGGGCTTGTGAAATGATCCCCCTTTGGTGACGAAACTCCTCAGCTTGGTCACAACCATCTCCAGAACCTCCATGTAGACTTTGTAAATGTTTGACCCATGTGAGGTGGCCTGCTGGCTGAGCTCTGGATGGCTGACGGTCATGGCTCTGACAAAGTCCCGAAGGCTAGTAATCGAGCAAGTGGACTTGCTGCTACCTGAGGCCTCCTTGAGCTTCTCAACCACATTGGAGCTGATGTCCATGGCCACAGCCGAAGCCACAGCTCGGCTCCCCAGGTTGGTCAATGAGATACTCTTAGCCAGGGTGCTTGACGATGACCATCTTTTCTTGGGCACGAAGCAAGACTCAGACCTCAGCAGGTTGGTGGACAGATGTTCGATGATATCGCTGATGGGTTCCACTGTAGCCTCCTGCAACTTCGTCTTGAAGCAGTCGTCAGTATGGTGCACATATGTTTGGCTAGGTGCCACCTGTAGATCTCCAGTAGTGAGCATCTTGTGGTCGAGCTTCTCAAGCAGGACCTGTATGACATCACAGAGCAGCCGGCTCTCTTTGGCTTGTCTGCTGTGGTCGTTAGCCTGACCCAGCCACCCATGGCGTCTCTGGATGGTCTGCAGCACCCACCGGACTACTCTCAGGGCCTTCGGATCAACTGACTTCAATGATTTCAGATCAGCCCTCTTGGGGATGTAAAGCACAGGGATCTCGGAGTTGTGCTGAGGAGAGTATTGTGACAGAGGAGCTGGGTGTGATCGCTTTCTTGGGGACAATGGTTTCTGGCCACCGACAGACTCGTAAAGATCATCGTCATGGTGCATCTTCTGCATGATAATGTTGATAATGCTGTTGGCATAGGGCATTATCTCCCTGTCTGACAGATCCTTTTCATTGAGCAGCAGTGGGCTGAGAGACCTCAGGGTGCTGGCCTGGCCTCCTAGGAGCTTACCAGGTGGGTCAGATGGGCGTTGGACATTAATCTCCTGATCCTGGCCGCCGGACACGCAGCACAGGGACTCACTGCTGGGGCTGGACCCTGGGGTGGCAGAATAACTGCTTGGTCTATCCTCAGGGATGGAGGAACTGCTTGTTCTGTCCACTGGACTAGAGGTAAGACCTGGTCTGGATTCTGGGCTTGAGGCAATACACACCGTGGAGTCTGGGCTTGAGGTCATACTTGGCCTGTACTCTGGGCTGGAGGTGATACTTGGCCTGTCCTCTGAGAAGATGACCTCGTGGCCCTCCCCAGTCAGGACATCGATCACCTTGAATTGAATTGAATACACTTTATTTGATACACATGCATGCATCAGAACACATAGACCAAGGACTGATGGCTGGTGGAACAAGTACAATACTTGACGTCCATAGAATCAATAGAATAAACTATGCATAAAAACAAGGGACTGTACAATAGATTACCTTGTCTAGGATCTCATCAACCTGGTCCGAGGACAGGGCAGCGCTCTTCAACATGCTGATCATGGGGAACATCGAAGGACCATCTTCATGATTGTCTGATGATGACTGAGATAGCTCAGGGCTTCCATGGCTGTGTTCACTCTTCTCAGCATGTGCATTCTCTACAGAATCCTTTGCATCCATAGTTTCATTCTTTGCATCAATATTCTCATCCCTGAGTTCTATCTTGGATTCTATTTTCTCATCTCTGACTTCTGTTCTAGCTGTTAGAATAAGCTCATAGCGCCTGCTGTTATTCTCTGAAATGGTATTGTCTTGTTCGTCTTTGTTCATCTCAGCATTGGCTTCTTCTTCCGTTTTAGTGTCAATGTCCAACCCTTCAGTCAGCTTGACCTCTGTCTCAAAACTAGCCTCTACCTTTGCCTCTTGGGTGTCCCTCTTGTTAATCTCAACTACTTCCTTGACTTCGGTCTTGACCATCACATCTGCAATAGTCTCCACTTCCTGAACTTCATTCTTGGCTGTTGTACCTGCAATAGTTGGCACCTCTGTAACTTCAGTCCTGGCCATCACATCTGCAAGAGTATCCTCTTCCTTAGCCTCCACCTTTTCCATCGCGTCCACAACAGTGGCCACCTCCTTACTTGCAGTCTTGGGTATCACATCAGCAATAATCTCTACTTTCTTTATCTCCAGTTTTGCCATTGTATCTTCAATAGTCAGAAGTTCAGTCTTGGCTGTTGTGTCTGCAATAGTCAACCCTTCTGGAACTTCTGTCTTAGCCACTCTATCTGCAACAGTCTCTACTCCCCTGACTCTCCTCTCACCACTACTATCTCTTGATGCAGCCTCAATACTCTTGGAGACCCTCTCAGCCTTTTCCTCAGGACTCATGTTTCTCACCCTTCTTATGTGCCTGTTGTACCCCTCGGCCTCTAGTTTATCCACGGCTCCCCTTATCACCTCCTGAATAATGGCCTCAACCTTCACCAGCAGGTTGGTTCCTAAAGACCCCAGACTGGTTCCAGAAGATTCCAAACGGGTTCCTGAAGACCCCAAGCACAGAGGACTTGTCTCTAAAGGCGAGGATTGGTTTACAGAAGGGCTTGGGCTACTGGAGGCAGCCAGGTCCACTGAGGCCTCTCTCTCAGTTTCTCTCTCAGACTCTCGATCAGCCTCTTCAGGAAAGTTCACGGTCAATGTCTCCTGTCTGATGACACCGGTAGTAGGTTTGAACGGCATGATGGGAGGTGTAGGTGTATTGCTGAACAGCCCTATCTGAGGGGAGGAGGACTGCAGGCTGGTGCTGAAGGAGGATGTCTGGTAGTAGTCAGAGGAGGAGGGGCTGCTGTAGATGGGTACATCACTGGGTACGTCGCTGCTGGGTATGTCACTGGTGCTGATGGAGCCTGTTAGGCGCTCATACTCGAAGGCCATGATGGCTGGGATGAGGATCCCGTTGACCTCCTCCACTACGGTCACCACCACACTGCACATGATAGTGTGTAGCTCCTCAGTGTGGATCTATGTAGAGAGGATGGCATGAGCAATGAACAATCAATACACAAGATCCATCCAAACTTCGTTCAGACTGGACCCATGCAACATTCAGACTGTATTTCCAGTAGACATGAATGACAGTTATATTTGATATTGATACCTAGATGTTCTCGTTTACTTGACAAGTGACTAATAATGTAGGTCGCAGAATGAATATAAATCAAAACTCACAGTTCCTTTGAAATGCTCCTCCTTTAGCCTCTGTTCTCTGTGGAGGGAAACCATGAAAAATTCAAAAAGACCTCTAGAAAAACGGACTGAACCACAGCTTTTACAGTTAAAACTCAGTGGACCATACATGTCAATTCATCTTTCAATCAATTGCTGAATATCTATACAGCACATTTCATACATATAAAAGCAAACATTTACAAATGTTTGAAAGTACAGATTTACATTTCAGACAGTTGCTGGGTGATGGAATGAAGGGAGCCAGCTTGTCCAATCAGACTGCCACAGGTCGCCAAGGTGCAGGAGACCGAGTCAACCAGCCCTGGGCCCTCAGCACCTACAAGACATGAACAAAACACTATTTATACCATACACATCAAGTATAGAATGAGTAAGTTAAAAGTCACCTATGGCAAGAAATGATTATGGTTTTCACTCTAAATTGAAGCTACAACTGTCATGCAATTAACAAAATGGCCGCTGTGACTAATCTCAGCAGGGGCGCAACTTTCACATGTCCCCCCCACATTCTGAAATTGCTTTTTTGTCCACCCCAGTTTTATCATTGGAATGTGATACAAAACGAGGCAACTGTGTGCTTTAGGACCATGCGGACTCCGAGCAGTCGGGTAGGCTGCTTGGAGTGTTTATCCGACTGGATAAAAAAATATATATATATGTCCCCACTTCTAAAACCAAAGTTGCACCCCTGAATCTCAGTGTGGTGTTTCATTGTAATGCTGATTTACTAAATCATAAAATATTTTAAACAGAAAGAAAAAAGAGGAATCCCAGCCTCCTACTTACAGAGGTTGTGGGCAGAGATGATGGATTTCTGATTCACTGCTTCAACCATGTTTTGACACAGAGCCAAGAGTTTCTATAACACAAATACAACTTTTCATAAGTAACATGTTAACCACATACAAACACACAGGCCTTGCCTGAAATTACAGCCTATTCACTATGTAGTGCCCTAGTTTTGACCAGATAGTGTTATTTCCGACATTAGCCAGAAATAAATCACCTCCACTATAAGTGATCAATTAAGATTCTTACTCTCCTTAAGTCACAATTATGTTCCACTGGAGAAGGTGAGGGTTGATGATCAGAGGGGCTCGTTCTAGTGGAGCCATCCAGGTCGACTGATGAGGAATAAAAACAAAGACAAAACATCAAGGCATCTCTTACTGGCTAAATTCCTTTACAAAGAGCTTATGTATTGCACCATACTTCAGGACTTGGCTGTCTTTTCAAAGCAAACATCAGTAGGAAAGTCTCACCTTGGTTGTTGTCAGGATCCGATACTGATATCAGGATGTTTTCCATGCTCTCCGGGTTGTCTTGTGAATCTGTCTTGGTTGGGGAATGCCTCTCTTTCTTCTGGCCTTTGAGACACAGTCTCTTCTGTTGTCTCTCTCGTTTCTGGGAGCAAGGGATCAAAACAATATCATTTTAAGTTGGGATCCATGTATTTTGTTTCTGTTGGTGAAGGCATTGATGCTTTTTGCAACAAAACACACTGGCTTTTCCTACTGCATGCTCTTAGGCCAGGGCTATCCTTAACCCGCAGTTTGAACTAGTAAGTATAGCATGGCCACGACTAAGGAGAGTTGAAACATAAAATGAAAACCCAAAGCCATACCATTTTCTCTTTTTCCTGCTGGTTTGTGACCCAGCGTTGCTCCAGCCTCATCTCTCTCTTCACCTCCTTGGTGACCTCCTGCAGTAACGCACGACCCTTAGCATTCCACAACTAAGACCAGGGAGAGAGGGTTTTCAAGTCAGTGACTGAATATATATGTACCAAAAGTTATTTTTAATTTTATGTTACAAAATGCTACAGTATATCAGAACTTTATTTCACCTATTCAGTGGAATATAGAGATGTATATTAACTTTTATGTATTGCTTTCATTACTGATGTTGTGGCTATATTTGAATTCCATCCCCCCCTCATATTTGATTTGATGTCTTACCAGTTCCGACCTGCAGGTGAAGCTAGAGCAGCAGTCTAGATCTACCATGTTGCCCCTCATAGCGATACTGGGCAGTCTCGCAAGAGAACAGTCCTCCTCCAGCACATAGTTGGAAGGGAACCTTCTAAAAGGTTTTACACACATCAAAGTAATAAGTGTCAGTAAGGGTTTTTCTCCATGTGCAGCCACATTCACCATAGCTCCCATAACAAATCAATAAAGAGAACTTCCATGGGGCATTTTTCCTTGCTACTTTTTTGGTATTATTAGACACACACACACCATACTCGTTTTGCACTTAATTTCTTAATCTTACTCATATTATTCTCATCAGGTACTATGCCAGCATCTCTCATGTATTCCTCTCATGTTTTGTGTCTATACCGTAACAGTAGCCATTCCCTAGGTTCCTTAGTAGCCTGTCAGCCTCCCTGTCTGTGCCCTCTCTCAGTCTCACCTGGCCCTGTTGGACTGCTGTCTCTTGATAAAGAGGCTCCTTCCCCTGTGCAGTAACCACTCTGTGACATCAGACAGAGTCACATGTTCAGGGATCTGACCCTGCTGCTGGAGGGTCAGGAACTTACGCACCGACTCTTTCTGGAATTAGAGAGAAAAAAATAACACAAATATAACTTGCGCACCAATTCTTTCTAAAACCAAGAAGGGAAGGATCATGTCACAGAAATTGTAGTCGATGACGAGATGGCTAGAATGTGTCTCTTTCTCTCGCTCTCTCTCCTTCCCTCTCACTCGCCCTCTCTCTCTCAAAGCCCTGGTATCTGAAATCTGAATTCTCTCACAAAGCCCAGACTCACCTGTTCAGTCCTGAATCTGCGACCCCAGTCCAACTCCACATCCACCAGGTGATCTCTATAGCGGTTCAACTCTTTGACTGAACAGATAATCTGAAGAATGGGAAATAGGGAGTGGAGACCATATAATTAGAATACATCCATGGTAGAGACATGGATGGGTCTAAGTGTAAGAACTTCTATTTAGGATTACTTTATTTTTCCTGAGGGCTGTTATATTGTAGTGTCAGTACTATCCAAGTGCACTAAAACTCTTAGAATCACACCAAACATTTTGATACAGTTCATAAAAGGAATCAACAGGGCTCATTATAAAAGGCTGAAAGCTCACTAACTTTCTCATCCTTGGTGATGAAGCCCAGGTTAAGGAGGCGTTGATGGATGTCTTTGCGATGGAGGTACTTCCTGAGGTTGGGGTCATGGAGGCTGCTGTACCCAGAGCTCAACAGGTAGCCGTTGGGGTCCGTCAGGTCAAAGTCACTCTTCGGCTGGAACAACTGACATGATGACATGATAAGTGATACATTTCTCTGACCTTTCTCCCAGTCAAGTGGAATTGGATGTATCTCATCAATAATAGTAGGCTATTTCATGAGAGTGTAAGAATTGGTTGTAAAACATGCAGATGCACAGGAAATGATAGCTTGAACCCTTTACAATTTTCAAAGTTATTTTAACAATAGATATAGTGCTGCTTACCCTGGTGCTTAGTGGTGCTAACAATAGCGCTTAGTGCTGCTTACCCTCTCACAGAGCCGGGTTGTGTGGTAGACATTGGAGACCCCAGAGATAACAGGGATCTTTCCTCGGACGGGCAGGTCCAGAGGGTGAGGGGTGGTCTGTTTACCACCACCCTGAAGTGGATAAGCAAACCTCTCAATCAATAATGTAGCATATAGGATAAGAAGGCAGCTGACCATAAAGACAAATGTTTTTCTTTACTGGGGTTTCATTTTAAATAGGCTACTGTACATCCAAACTCAAACTAATTTTATGGATGAAACTAAATACACTGTACAAATGCCATGGTCTAATTAGAAATCAGACAGTGACTAAAAAAAGCAGTTGAATATTGAAGAAATAGCTATAGCAGCTGAAATATAACTGTCTGTATAGAAAATAGCCTACATACCATATGTGCCATACTGATCTAATTCAAATTCTCATTCTGATGAAGAAAACTGGATCATTTCCAGTGGCATTATTCTATGAAAAAATGTTTTAGGGTATAACATGAACAGACAGTACAAGAATTTGAGTTGAACTTTACAATTCTAGAACCCACATCATCCCCTGGTACGCCATAAACCCTAAATATGACGTCATAGTCGAAATGGTTGTGCTTGATGGACATAGCAGCCGACAGTGCAGGCTGTCAATTACAAATCTTCCCACAGGTGTCTGCCAACTGACTGATCTACAAAGAACCTTGCATCATAAATAACTACTCATTATTATTTGTAGATTAGTCAGTCAATCACAATTTACCCATAATACAGGTTTTGATCCCTCTTGAACACGGCCGTTCTGTTGTTGTTGCGCGCTTTGAGCGGCACTGCCACCAAATGATCGCTAGAGGGGGCCGTGTTCACGAGCTAGCTATTTAACCAACGCATAATAATGCACTGGTTTTCACGTTGACAGCTGCGTGTACAATTACTTCTCTCTTTAGGTGCGTTCACACTGCCCCTTAGCCCAGGGCTAAGCACCTTTTAGCCCGGGGCAAAGCGAGTGTTCACACTTGCACACTCTAAAGTGGGCTAGCACCAACCTTAGCCCAGGGCTAGCTGGCCCTGCTCCCAGAAACATATGGTGCCGAAATAGCCAGTGTGAAACGGTCAAGAACAACGGCGCCTACAATGCTCACTGTCCAATCACAAAAGCTGCACTGTCACTTAATTTATATATGCTTGTGATGCATGTACTAATGCGTTCTGCTCGTTATTTTGATGAGTAAATGTATACTATTTCATCCTTCCATTTGAGGACAAAAAACAAAATACTTTCATCCTTGCAAAAACATTGGTTGCTATGCTTAACAAAAATGGTTGCTATGCAACAAGCTAAGGTCTTCTCACTTAGCCAACTAAAGCTACAAACTCTACAGCTGGAAGGGCAGCAAACGCTCAATTTTCGTCTGTTTTCATAGCTTTTCTATGTACATTTAATTGGCTATATTCATTACAATAATATTGTTGCATTATTTCGCCTGGATCAGAAAAGTTGATGTCTTGTTTGTGCACATCATTTTCTGTACAGGCGCGAGATCGAATTTCAAAAGTGAAACATTGTTTGCGAGGTCAGACAGTTTATACAAACCATCACTGTTGGAAATCAAATGTTTCTCTAGAAACAAGATGAAATAATGTCTTAATAAATGTTTATTGCTAACATTGGTCGCGTGTCAGAGATAGAATGTTGGTCGCATGTTGTTTTTGTCTGTTAGCCCAGGGTTTTGGAATACAAGTGTGCTTCTAACACACTAACACACCGACTGTGGTATTTTGGTACACCAGAAGTACATTCATTTCCAATGAAACGCTGCGTTTGTCTTGGAGCATTGCGTTGCAGAGGTAGTTGCAATGCGTTCAGTGTGGCGCAAACATTGGATTTATCGAACGTATGCGTCAAACTGTACGAGTCAACGGGATGACAGAAAGGGTAGCAGAAGGGGAACGTTGAACTTTTGTTGCACACAATCCTCAGCAATCTACACACAATACCCCAGAATGACAAAGCGAAAACAGGTTTTTAGAAATGTTTGCAAATTTATTAGAAATGAGAAACAGAAATATCTTATTTACATCAGTATTCAGAACTTTGCTATGAGACTCGAAATTGAGCTCAGGTGCATCCTGTTTCCATTGATCATCCTTGAGATGTTTCTACAACTTGATTGGAGTCCACCTGTGGTAAATTCAATTGATTGGACATGATTTCAAAGGCACATACCTGTCTATATAAGGTCCCACTGTTGACAGTGCATGTCAGAGCAAAAACCAAGCCATGAGGTTGAAGGAATTGTCCGTAGAGTCACAGATATGGGGAAGGGTACCAAAAAATGTATGCAGAATTGAAGGTCCCCAAGAACACAGTGGCCTCCATCATTCTTAAATGGAATTAGTTTTGAACCACCAAGACTCTTTATAGAGCTGGCCGCCCGGCCAAACTGAGCAATTGGCGGATAAGGGCCTTGGTCAGGGAGGTGACCAAGAACCCGATGGTCACTCTGACAGAGCTACAGAGTTCCTCTATGGAGATGGGAGAACCTTCCAGAAGGACAACCATCTCTGCAGCATTCCACCAATCAGGCCTTTATGGTAGAGTGGCCAGACGGAAGCCACTCCTCAGTAAAAGGCATGACAGCCTGCTTGGAGTTTACCAAAAGGCTCCTAAAGACTCTCAGACCATGAGAAACAAGATTCTCTGGTCTGATGAAACCAAGATTGAATTCTTTGGCCTGAATTCAAAGTGTCATGTCTGGAGGAAACCTGGCACCATCCCTACGGTGAAGCATGGTGGTGGCAGCATCATGCTGTGGGGATGTTTTTCAACTGAAGGGACTTGGAGACTTGTCAGGTTCGAGGCAAAGATGTACTGCCAAATTCTCTAAAACGACGTTGGAGGCGGCTTATGATAGAGAAATGAACATTCTATTCTCTGGCAACAGCTCTGGTGGGTATTCCTGCAGTCAGCATGCCAATTGCACGCTTCCTCAAAACTTGAGACATCTGTGGCATTGTGGTGTGAAAAAACTGCACATTTTAGTGGCAGTTTGTCCCCAGCACAAGGTGCACCTGCATAATGATCATGCTATTTAATCAGCTTCTTGATGCCACACCTGTCAGGTGGATGGATTACCTTGGCGAAAGAGAAATGCTCACTAACAAGGATGTAAACAAATGTGTGCACCAAATGAGAGAAATAAGCTTTTTGTGCATATGGAACATTTCTGGGATCTTTTATTTCAGCTCATGAAACATGGGACCAACACTTTACATGTTGCGTTTATATTTTTGTTCAGTGTACAACTGAATGTGACACTTGAGGCTCTCTCACCAATTGATTGTACAATGTACACACATTTGTGGAAACATGTTTATTTCAACATTATAAATAACTTTTATAAACAATGGCAACACTGCCATGTTGCACTGAGTCTTGCTGTTGGAAAACCATGAGTGTCCTACTTTCGGCTGTCGCAGATGCACCTCCCCCGACTTCACTACTCGACTTTCGTCTAGCCTTACCACTCAAAAACAAGCCCAATATCTCAGGTGATGCTCGTGGCAAAATGTGTGCTCTATGGTACTAAAACCTGGATGACCCTGATTTGAGGTAGCTAACAAAGCCTTTGAGTTGAAGGCAGATAGCACACTTACTGTATGTACAGTTGTATGCTCAATAACAACACACTATCAGCAACCTATAGGAGAATATGACCTACAGTTGAAGTCGGAAGTTTACATACACCTTAGACAAATACATTTCAACTCAGTTTTTCACAATTCCTGACATTTAATCCTAGTAGAAATTCACTGTCTTATGTCAGTTAGGATCACCACTTTATTTGAAGAATGTGAAATGTCAGAATAATAGTAGAGAGAATGATTTATTTAAGCTTTCATTTCTTTCATCACATTCCCAGTGGGTCAGAAGTTTACATACACTCAATGAGTATTTGGTAGCATTGCCTTTAAATTGTTTAACTTGGGTCAAACGTTTCGGGTAGCCCTCCACAAGCTTCCCACAATAAGTTGGGTGAATTTAGGCCCATTCCTCCTGACAGAGCTGGTGTAACTGAGTCAGGTTTGTAGGCCTCCTTGCTCACACACGCTTGTTCAGTTCTGCCCACAAATGTTCTATAGGATTGAGGTCAAGGCTTTGTGATGGCCACTCCAATACCTTGACTGTGTTGTCCTTAAGCCATTTTGCCACAACTTTGGAAGTATGCTTGGGGTTATTGTCCATTTGGAAGACCCATTTGCGACCAAGCTTTAACTCCCTGACTGATGTCTTGAGATGTTGCTTCAATATATCCACATCATTTTCCTTCCTCATGATGCCATTTATTTTGTGAAGTGCACCAGTCCCTCCTGCAGCATGATGCTGCCACCCCCCTGCTTCACGGTTGTGATGGTGTTCTTCGGCTTGCAAGCCGTCCCCTTTTTCCTCCAAACATAACGATGGTCATTATGGTCAAACAGTTCTATTTTTGTTTCATCAGACCAGAGGACATTTCTCCAAAAAGTACAATCTTTGTCTCCATGTGCAGTTGCAAACCATAGCCTGGCTTTTTTATGGCGGTTTTGGAGCAGTGGCTTCTTCCTTGCTGAGTGGCCTTTCAGGTTATGTCGATATAGGACTCGTTTTACTGTGGATATAGATACTTTTGTACCTGTTTCCTCCAGCATCTTCATAAGGTCCTTTGCTGTTGTTCTGGGATTGATTTGCACTTTCCGCACCAAAGTACGTTAATCTCTAGGAGACAGAACGCGTCTCCTTCCTGAGCAGTATGACGGCTGCGTGGTCCTATGGTGTTTATACTTGTGTACTATTGTTTGTAAAGATGAACGTGGTAACTTCAGGCATTTGGAAATTGCTCCCAAGGATGAACCAGACTTGTGGAGGTCTACAATTTTTATTCTGAGGTCTTGGCTGATTTCTTTTGATTTTCCCATGATGTCAAGCAAAGAGGCACTGAGTTTGAAGGTAGGCCTTGAAATACATCATCCACAGGTACACCTCCAATTGACTCATTATGTCAATTAGCCTATCAGAAGCTTCTAAAGCCATGACATCATTTTCATTAAAGGCACAGTCAACTTAGTGTATGTAAACTTCTGACCCACTGGAATTGTGATACAGTGAATTATAAATGAAATAGTCTGTCTGTAAACAATTGTTGGAAAAGTTACTTGTGTCATGCACAAAGTAGATGTCCTAACCGACTTGCCAAAACTATAGTTTGTTAACAAGAAATCTGTGGAGTGGTTGAAAACGAGTTTTAAACTTCCGACAACTGCATACATGTAGTAGTGATCAGTTGCATTGTAAGAAAATATGCATCAACTTCCCTACATCCAAAAGACGTGGCATACTGTAACAAAACATTTTACATCCAAAACGAGTGTTTCTTAAGTTCAGCTAGGTCCTGCCCGGTTTCAGCCCATTTGCATCAGTTTGGTTCCTAGTGAATACACCCGGTGTACGACTGCAGGTCCACGAATAACAACAGACACATTCAAAAGCCCATAATAAATAAATCCATCACAAACGTCTTACGAAGATTTAATGTACATTTATTCTTAACACATGGAACATATAGTATAAAGATTCATTAAGCCAAAAAAAAGGAAAAAATTGGAATTTACATCAAGTCTTTAGCTACATCGTCTGAAATACAAATATGCAGAATCCATATCACTGGAAAAACAAATAAACACATTTCAAACAGTTTATGTCTTCATCAGGGGTCTTGCTTTGTCGTTGATGTAGGAGCGGAAATGGAACCGTAGCAGACATGGTTTCAGTCATGTTAAGACAGCGGTACTGGAGACAAACTGAAACTTGATCTGTGTGTGGGGGGGGGGGGGGGGGGGGGGGGGTGTTGCAAGGGAGTCGCAGCAGCTGAGTCCCTGTAGCGAGAGACAGGCGGGTGGGTCGGGGGTGAGGGGTCAAAGGTTAGGTAATCCCATGGCGAACTTGATGCAGGGAATTTCACTTGAGAGTAACCTTAATTCATCGAAGATTCAAAATGGTGAAGCGCAACAGAAGGGTTAGAGAGAAAGAGAGAGGAGAGAGGTGTAATGTACAACATCATATATACACAGCAGTCGGGACTGGGTCTAGAATAGAGGAGCAGTCCTAAGAGGTGACTTCTTCTATAAGGGTCAAGTCATACAATCAAGGGACAGAGAAGAGGTCGGGGTGTTGTAAGGTTCACGATACTTTGGGGGGAAAGCCTTTTGTCATCTCTCTCAGTTCAACATTTAACTAAAATCATTTTTAAAAACTACAGTTTGCTGCCAAGCCAGCGTATCTCAGTGTGAAACAGTATTATTACAGTATGTTGACAGTTGTTTTTAAGGTGTACAGTACAGAAAAAAAGTCCTACAATCTACTGCACAGGCCTCCTCATTGAAGACGTCTGTCTGTCTGTTCACAGCTGATAACCTGGGTCCTGTAGGGCTGAGTATATAGCATCCAAGTTACAGCAGTATACCAAACCAGAGTCCAGGAGTCTGTTTCACCGTACATTAACTAAAAACAGGTTTTGCCCGTCCATGCCCGCCCTGCTCACCCCCCTGCCAACCCCAAGGGAGGAGAACCTGGGCACATATATCCCCCAGACTCACTGTAAACGAGACAGCAATTTTGGTTAGTTTTTATCTTTTCATTAAAAAAGTTGTTTGCCACAGGGCAGCTCTCTCCCTCCCCCCCCTCTCTCTCCCTCCATCCCAGGGTCCCATCTGATCGGTCTTATCACATCATATCCACGTTAGTTTCTCAGTTTCCGTGTTCCAGAATGTTTAACTCCACCGCTACTTCAGTAAATCCGTCCTTTAGTGAGAAGGGTAGACAGTGGAATCCGAGGTGATTTTGCATAAATTAAAAAAAGGACAGTCAGTTTTGCTCTTAGTTCTCTCTTCCACTCACACTCAACAGACACACAAAAAAATAAAAGGGGGGGGGGGGGCGGGGGGGGAACAGGGCGGGGGAACAGAAAGAGAAAGCGAAGCTGAAACCCCCACGGCTGTCATGACTGGCCAATCAGAAAGAGTACGTCACAGATCACATGGGATACCAGAGAGTTCATGAGTGGTGAGACAGAGATGTCCAGTAGGCGGGACTCGTACAGGGTGAACTCTGAGTGGTTCTCCTCCACCTTAGCCATGGCGTGCAGGGCGCGGGCCGCTCGCCGCATCATGTCCACGCTAGTGGGCTCAAAGTGCGCCCCCTGTAGGTGCATCATGGAACTCTGGCTCTGCTGGTACTGCGTGGCCGTTAGACTGTCCTCCAGGAAGCCCAGGAGGTTACCTACGCTGGCCTTCTGCACAGCGATGGTCCTGGCCGCCATGCCGTCTCCCTGGGCCAGGTTGGCCAGTAAGACCACAGACATCTCCCTACAGACGGCCACCTTCCTCTCCCCGACCAGACGTACCAGCGTCCCGTACAGCTTCTCCAGCCGGCTGAACGGCGGCGTGGCCAGGATAAGGTCCACGTTGTTGTCCTGGATGCTCAGCTTGCTGAGGGTCTCCAGCACCAGTCTTTGGGGGGATAGGGCCCCATGGGGCCCCAGCATGGGGAAGGGGTCCAGGGCCTCGGCCGAGGGACAAACAGCCCAATGGAGCAGGCCGTCCAGCAGGGGCAGACAGATGCTCTCTGGGTAGATGGACAGGTCCAACTGGCCGGAGATGTTAGCCAGAGTGACCAGGCAGTTCTCCCTGAGGACCTCCAGACAGTCCCACCACCACTCGTCCCTCTCACAGCTCACCCTCTCGTCCTCCTCCTCCTCCTTCTCGTAGGTGACAGGGGCCTGTTTCCTCTCTGGGTGGCGGTGATGGAGCAGGACCAGACGGCCCAGCAGCAGCAGCAGCCCCGGGTGTTTGGACATCTCCAGGTCATTGCCGGGGATGAAGGACAGCGAGCGGACGATGTTGGAGACGCAGACGCAGCGGCGAGCCAGGGTGTCCTGCCAGTCCGACAGCGTGTTCAGTGGGGTCTCATCCTTGCTGTGAGGCTCGTCCTCCAGGATGGTGATGTTGCGTCGGCTCTGCTGCGCCTGGCGGATGGAGAACAGGAACTTCCCCCCGTTCTCCTTCTGCTCCTCGGCTGCTCCTCGCACCGCCTCCTCCGTCACCGAGCCCGGCCGGGCCGACAGGACGTCGTCGATGGTAGCAGTGACCGGGGCGGGCGTGGTTGGGGCAGAGGCCTTGGTGGTCTTCTCTGCAGGGGAGGTGGTCTGCTCTTCCTTGCCAGGCTTAGTGGTCTTCTCTGGGTCTTCTGACACCGTCGCGGGCACGGCCACCTTCTTTCTACTCTCGGTGGCTGATGGCGGCACCCGTTTCCGCTGCTTGAGGATGTCGCACTGACTCTCGAAGTGAGTCTGGATGTGTTCCGTGGTGTCCCCCCCGCCGATGCTCCAGTGGATCAGCCCGCTGTCGAAGCTCTGCCGCCGGCCTAGCTTACTGGAACGGCCCCCGGGGAAGGGGTCTTTCTTACGCACCATCTTGATGGGTAGCTTGTCGAACTTACTGGCCTGTTTGGGTTTCTCCTGGAGGAGGCTGAGGTTCTGGGGGGCTGAGGAGGTGGAAGAAGACTCTCCTCCTTTCCTCTCCTTCTCCTCCTCCTCTGCTGTCGAGTTCTCCGTCGTGGATTCCTCCTCCTCCTCCTGTTTCACCTGGACCTGCTGCGACGAGGTGGTGGTGTCCTCCTCCTCTTCGTCCTCCTCCTCTTCTTCCTCGTCCTCCTCCATGTCCTCCTGCTCGGGCAGCTCTTCATCGGACCAGTCTTCGTCGGCAGCATGCGGGTCGATGAGCGTCCGCTGGCCAGGGTCTCCCACCTCATACTCCTTCAGGATGCCGAAGATCTCGATGAGGCAGCGTCTGAAATACTCCACTACCAGCTCCAAGAACCCTGGCAGCTGAGAGGAGACAGGATAGGACAGGCTGTAGTTAGACATCCACATCAATGACAAATATAATCACGCATGAATTCTTTATACAGAGATGTGATCAGGACAACCTAGAAAATCTGGAGGATAATGTCAGATAATACATATTGACATTTTGAAGTTTTATTAGAATGCTTCTTAGAAAAGATTACTGTATCATCTGGTAAGATACCAACTTCAACATGTAATATTTTAAAAGTATAATATTAATATAAAAGTATTATTATGGGTGTTTCATCATTCTAATGCCTGTTGGAACTCACCTGGCAGAGGTTGAAAGTAGAAATGCTGTTGTCATCGTATAGTAAAATATTAATGGTGTCCAAGGCCCAAGTGCTCTCAGCTAGTAAGCCTGACTTCAGTGACATCATCACTCTCCAGGCCTCTGGGGTGCCTGAGGGAACGAGCAGAAAATACATCAGTGACTGATATAGGATGATGGCACTACCTCAAAATTACAAACATTTAGGAGCAATGTTCCCTCTAAGCTGCCGCGTAGCGGCAGGCCGCTCACCGGCGCAAGAGATTGAACTTCACCGAGTTCGCCCCATTAGTTTGCACTATATAGATACACTTTTTTTCTGTGATCGAAAAAACATTATATCAGTCCCTTTTTAATGCAACAAACCAAAACAAATCTAACTTTGCAAGATTGAGTCTGATTTTGTTGTAGGCAGAGCCAGAGCGTAACGGAGTAGAATTCGGGTGGGTAGCCCATGAGGGGTTTTTCCAATCACCAGCGAGTGAATGAATGCGCTTTTCATATTTCAGATCAGAGCCGCGCCTGTGAACATTTGTTGATATTCTTTGCTAGTTAGCAAGTTATTAGCCCATTTATAGATAAGCATAGATCAGCAATGGGGAGTTACTGCTTCCTACAAGAGCACAAAACATGTAGGCTACATTTCAAGCTGTCTTTGAAAAGCGAGTAAGGTAAAAAACGTATGTCTTAATTAAAGGGGCAGTGTTGTATTTTGAGACAGGCTTGAAAATGCAAATAAGTCAATAGGCAGAGGGGTAGCCTACATTGTCTAATCTTCTGTATTGTAATAATAATTAATGTTATTTTGTAAAGTGGTTTGTTGCATCATACAACAATGCAATTTACAGTCACCTATTTGGCCCATGGTGTTACAGACCAAGTAAAAAATCATGAATGAATGTCAAGCCCTTCATAATGTAAAAACATTTTTAAAGTCTCATGCAATGTAGGCCTGCATTGAACACCACATATAGGCTACTCTAGGCTATATCATAGAAATCAAAAGCTATTTCCATGTGAAAATCTTATGGGATTTGCTCCATTGGTTTTGTTGGTAGGCCTACATTATGCTCAAATAGCCACAATAGCCTATTGGCTACTGTCTAAAACTGTAAGGGTACAGCCTCAGCGTTCACTGTAAACACGCGCCGGAACTTGCACAAAATTCTAACAACGTTCAAGTTTCCGCTCACAATACCAAAAATGTGCTCAGTGCCCCAAAATTTGAGGGAACATTGTTTAGGAGTATAATTATTTTTATTAAATAATTGTTTTGTTTTTTAGAAACAGCGTAAGTGACTTTGTGCAAAGGGTCTGCTAACATTTAATCTCCTGAAAATGGCAAGTTTTGGGTGAAAAGAATCTGCCAACACTTTCATACCGATGTCTTTCATGGTGAGTCGTCCTCGGGGTTTGAGGATGGGTTGGGAGGCCTCCACCGACCCTGGGGGGAAGGCTATGTCCCGCCTGATGAGGGGGGGCTGCATGGGGGCCTGGCCTATGTGGGACGCGGGCACGGGGGGCCCCGCCTTCTGCATCTTGATGCCTGAGTGCATGTAGGGCGACTTTGAGGGGGACGTCCGGCTTTCCATGGGGCGGGGCATGGGAGCGGGGCTGGACACCTGGGAAATGTGGTTTTGGGAGCTCTGATAGTTGGACTGCAGGGGTCTGGACATGGGGGGGCCCGAGCCCCCCGGCCCGTAGGGGGACTGTCTCTGGCTGGGGTGTCCCGGCCACTGGCCCTCGTGGTTCATCCGCTGGTCGGCCCCTGGCATCATCTCCTCAGAGCGGTTCATGCCGTGGTAGCCCTGGGGGGGCCCCTGGCCAGGTCCTGGAGGCCCCTGGCGGTTGGGGTAGTTGGGGTAACCCATCTCATTGCGTCCCTGCCACATGGGGCCCTGGGGGCCATCAGGGGCTGCCTGCATAGGGCTGCCCATCATCTGGGGAGGCATGGGGGACTGGGAGTTGGGCCCCCCGCTGGAGGACCCCCGGTCTCGGCCAAAGGGGAAAGGGAACTGGCCCTGGGGGCCAGGTGGTCGGCGGTCAGAGCCGGGGTAGCCTGCGTTGTACTGATTGTACATGTCCTGTTGGCCCTGGGGGCCCCCGGAGGGCTGGGGCCCCGGCTGCTGCTGACCGCTGAAGGGGACATTGTACATCCCATCCCCCTCATGACGCTTCGCTGGGGGACCGTAGCCCCCGTCCACTGGAGGACGCTTGTAGTTCTGAAGACATGCATACACATTGTTAGCATCTCAATATCAAACCAATGGATTATATATCCAGCACGTACATATTGATTATGGATTCAATACATTTCAGTAGGTTATTATATGCCTTTTTTACATTCATATCGTATCAATAAAACATCCCACATTCATTTCACTGAATACGTTATACTGATAAATGCAAGTGAACATTTACAAGGCTTCTGAAGCAGATATGAGTACACAAAGAGAGCAATGGACAAAATGTACTTACGGGTTGTTGCTGTGGAAACATTCCTGGCTGCTGATTGGGGTAGGGGCCACCAGGTGGCGCTCCTTGGCCAGGGTACTGATTACCATAGGAATCATGACTGAAACACAACATACAACATACCGGTTAACAAACTTCGGCAATTGAAATGCAGCAGAACTTAACTAAAATAAACTACACAGAAAACACAAAATAAGATAAAGCAAACGCTTGAATAGATAACATAAGCTCACACTAAGATCAAAGCCTTCTTGAGAAAAGACAGTAATGTATTTAACATGTATAAGACCCTGTATGTGACTTAGCCCAGTTTGAGGTACTGACCGTTGCTGCGGTGGGGGTCGGCTAGGGGAGTACATCCCCGAGTCGGCCCCTGAAGGCATCAGGTTGGGCTGGGGGGCCCCAGGACCCATACTGCCGTCAGGACCCATCCCTGGCTCCTGTCTCCTGTCATATCCAGGTCCGTAGGGGTACTGTTGTCTCGGACCCATCTGCATGTTGGGGCCCATGGGCCCTGGGGGGCCTCTGTTGAACTGCCCCTCCATACCACTGTTAGGCCCCGGCCCTGGAGTCATGAATTGCTCTCCAGCTGCAGAGAGTTAGGGTTAAACACTGAACAGTGTCTCAATATTGTATGGGACAAGTCTGTCTAGGCCACTTAGCAGATGCTTTGGGCCCACCACAACCCAGTCTTGGTGTTGCTAGCGCCACGCTCTTAACCAACTAAGCCACACATGATATACTATATACTCCTCGTACAGTATTCTTGTATAATTTCCTGTGACCGCCAAATAAAATATCTAAAAGCCAGTTAAACCTATCGCTCACCTTTCCTCATGCCACCAAAGGGGTCCTTGTTGGGTTCGTAGGGCCCCATGCGACCCATCATCTCCGGACCACCCATCCCAGGCTGGTAGCTGTTGGGGGTGATAGAGTTCCGTCTGGCAAATGCCGGGTCGCCCCCGTCTGCAAATGGGTCCTGCAGCCTACAGGGAGGAGGAGGGGGAGAGGGAAAGAGAAAAGGTGCGCGAGAAATAGAGATTACAAAAAAAAGAAGAAGCTAAATACCATTTTCAATTGTGTTGTTCGTTTGGTTCCCCTTGAATGGAAGAATCTATTCTGTTTTTGTTACCAACTCTTCAGTGGAAGGAAGGAAGGGTAGGGGATTGTTGTCAGGTGTAGTAGAGAGTGAGAGGATGTTTTGAGACAGAGTAGTAGAGAGTGAGAGGATGTTTTGAGACAGAGTAGTAGAGAGTGAGAGGATGTTTTGAGACAGAGTAGTAGAGAGTGAGAGGATGTTTTGAGACAGAGTAGTAAAGAGTGAGAGGATGTTTTGAGACAGAGTAGTAGAGAGTGAGAGGATGTTTTGAGACAGAGTAGTAAAGAGTGAGAGGATGTTTTGAGACAGAGTAGTAGAGAGTGAGAGGATGTTTTGAGACAGAGTAGTAAAGAGTGAGAGGATGTTGTGAGACAGAGTAGTAAAGAGTGAGAGGATGTTTTGAGACAGAGTAGTAAAGAGTGAGAGGATGTTTTGAGACAGAGTAGTAAAGAGTGAGAGGATGTTGTGAGACAGAGTAGTAAAGAGTGAGAGGATGTTGTGAGACAGAGTAGTAAAGAGTGAGAGGATGTTTTGAGACAGAGTAGTAAAGAGTGAGAGGATGTTTTGAGACAGAGTAGTAGAGAGTGTCATGGGTACCTGACTGGCATGGGGGGCATCTGGCTGTGAGGGGTGGAGGCTGGGGTGGGGGGCTTCAGGTCTCCCCCCTCCGCCATGGAACTACTGGTGGACTGGGGGGTCTGGGGGCCCTGCAGAGATCCAGATCCAGCTGCAACACACACACACACACACACACACGTTAAGAGATACACACGGTAGAGATACGCACATTTTAGACACACGTCACAGGGCTAAATCCCACTGAATGCACACACAGCTTCAGCGTTATTATAGAAGAGACTCACAGTGACAGAGAGAGATCACTTCAGCCCAGTGTTAAGAGACTAAACCCTATCTCTCCCTCTCCCATGCTGCTGCTGTTGGCTAGCTCAATCCCATCAACTCATTCCCATGCTGCACACACACAGTGCACAGAGAGGCTGGCTTTGGCCGCCCACACACACACAGCGGTGATGAATCCTTCAGCACATCTCAGCATGCCTTGCTGCCGGCATCACAAAGTCACCAGGAAACAATGATCTAAAGTCAGCCTCAGCCTCCGTCAGATTACCATGTGTGTTGCATGGAGCGCCTCTCGTCCGTTGCCCGGCTCATGACTTCTCACTATTAGCACGCCTGTCTAATGAGTCATGTGTTTCATTCATTAACTGACACACACACACACAGTCATTGACAGGTCACAGTTATTCAAATCTTCTCACTTCTCACACACGGCAACGCGCACATCAATCTGCTTGCACTCCCTTCCCCCGGGGCAGGGATTTCCCTCTACTACAGCTGAAGAGTGGAGGAGGAGGAGGAGGAGGAGGAGGAGGAGGGCGAAAGGGGGGAATCTCAGGAAGGGAGAAAAAAAAAAAGACAGCAGGCGAGGGAGGGAGGGAGGGAGCAGAAAAAAGCGTGTGACTTTACACACACAACCACCTCTTTTCCCATTCATCATTTTCTGGCTCAGCACAAAGCTCCAGGGAGGGGGGAGAGGGTTGCCTGTGAAGCCGTGGGCCAGGAACCAGACACTAGGCACTGCCGTAGTAGTAGCTAGTAATGGAAGGCATCAACAGATGACGACCCCCCCCCCCCCCCCCCCCCTTACTACTGGGGGGCTGCCAGCTGACATACTCCACATCAGAGGGATCTCCCCTGCACCCCTCTCCCCTCTCCATCAACCCTCGTCTCTCTCCCCCAGCCTGGCACTGATTCCCCACCACAGAGGATCTCCCTGCACCCCCATAACCTCTACCAAACCCCCATCCCTCCTCCCCTCAGCCTCCTGGCACTGACTCCCTGCCCCCTGAAATGAAAGCCCATCCTTGGCTTGGCTTGGCTGGGCCAGACCAGCAGAGCAGACTGTTGAGGAGCACGTGGCTGGGTGATACCAAAAACCAGCCTCTCCAAAACGAACAGTGTTTGGGGCGAGAACACCGACAGAACACAACACCCCCCTGAGGAGATATGCAGGGGGGAGCAGATCACTGAGGACAGCCCCATTAACCTCCAGCATAAGACTATGAGGAACCACAGAACAAACACACACTGTCTGTGCCTCTCATAGACAACCACAGGACGGCCTCAGCATACCAGTATGTTTAGAATAAAATGAGATTGAACTCTTTGGCCTGAATGCCAAGCGTCACGTCTGGAGGAAACCTGGCACTATCCGGTAAAGCATAGTGGTGGCAACATCATGCTGTGGGGATGTTTTTCAGCGGCAGGGACTGGGAGACTAGTCAGGATCAAGGAAAAGATGAACGGAGCAAAGAACAGAGAGATCCTTGATGAAAACCTGCTCCAGAGAGCTCAGGACCTCAGACTGGGGCGAAGGTTCACCTTCCACACCTCCCAAAAGGACAACGACCCTAAGCACACAGCCAAGACAACGCAGGAGTGGCTTCGGGACAAGTCTCTGAATGTCCTTGAGTGGCCCAGCCAGAGCCTGGACTTGAACCTGATCGAAAATCTCTGGAGAGACCTGAAAATAGCTGTGCAGCGACGCTCCCCATCCAACCTGACAGAGCTTGAGAGAATCTGCAGAGAAGAATGGGAGAAACTCCCCAAATACAGGTGTGCCAAGCTTGTAGCGTCATACCCAAGAAGACTTGAGGCTATAATCAAATGTTTTCACTCATTCCATTTAAATCAATGTGACTAGCTATAACTCAAAACAGAGTCGGTATGGGAGGGAGGGGATGTGAAGTACTAGTTTGAGTATCTGCCACTCACATGGACTAGGGGGCTGACAGACAGACAGACACACACCTGGGCTAGGGGGCTGACAGACAGACAGACACACACCTGGGCTAGGGGGCTGACAGACAGACAGACACACACCTGGGCTAGGGGGCTGACAGACAGACAGACACACACACACCTGGGCTAGAGGGCTGACAGACAGACAGACACACACACACCTGGGCTAGGGGGCTGACAGACAGACAGACACACACACACCTGGGCTAGGGGGCTGACAGACAGACAGACACACACACACCTGGGCTAGGGGGCTGACAGACACACACCTGGGCTAGGGGGCTGACAGACAGACACACACAAATAAAGACCAAGACAAACACAGCACGGACCTGGGCTGGGGGGCTGGATCTTGGGCTGGGTGGTCTTTTTGGCGTCGGTGAAGAGGTCCGGGGGCGGGTCCTCGCCACGTTCGATCTTGCACTCGAAGGCGTACAGACACTGGATGTACTGTTTCTTCAGAGAGCTGGCAGCGCTGCTGGACGTGCCCACGTTCAGGTTGGTGGACAACTCCCTCCACTTCTTATTCTTGTTCACCTGGTGGGCGGAAGGAGCGAGGAGATCTTACAACACCATAGCTACCAAACAGAGTCCAAACTAGCTAAATATGTGATGTTCTAAACTGCTGTAGAAAAATGAAATGACGATAACAAGGTTATCAGGCAAATAATGACGTCGGTATTCTAAAACACAGAGGTACATAGACACATGCACAGACACACTATACACAAATACTGCAACAGAGGAACCACTAACCTGTGTGAGGCCTCCGATCTCTTTGACCGAGACGTAAAGTCTGAAGAGGTCCAGAGGTTTGCGTCCCACAGCGGGAAGGTTGGTCATGCCCATGGCCTTCTCCTCAGCGAACGCCAGATACCGGTCTACCCACGTCCTCCTCTCCAGCTCCGGACCCAGCTCATACAGACGAGTTATCTTCTCATTGGTCGTCGTCGAAGAATTTGACTTCTGAAAGAGGGAGACGGTAGAAGGAAGTGGTGAGGATTTGGCTTGATATTCACCATCGACTTCAACTTACTTCCACTCACTGACCCCATAGAAGTAGAATCCCAATCACAATACTAGGTCAGCCATATTGCGTGTACCCATGAGGTTACCATGGTCAGAGGGGCTTTGACTGTTCTTGGGATTCTATTTATATGCACAAACAACCATGCAGCTCTTTCATTCTGACTGTATCATTCAGTACCACAAGTCAGAAACCACAAACCTTCTTTACCTTCTTGGTTTCAGGTTTGGGCGTGCCGTCCACCTTGTTGTTAATCTTCTGGGCTGGGTTCAGTTTGACATCGATGCCAAACTCAGGGCTAGGAGCCATGCCTGGCAGATGGAGAACAAATGGGGAGGGGGGGGGGGGGGGTTTAGTCCAAGTAGTACCACATATTAGTTAAGTAACATTTCAATCCAATTTATTGCCGATTTTATACAATATCAAATATCAAGTCAGATGATATGCCAAAAGCAATCATTTGTCCACTTGAGTTGGGTGATAAAATCATGTCCAGACGCAACCAGACTGGATATTTTCTCCAGACTCACCAGGTGTGTTGTTGGCCATGTTCCCTCCCATTGGCCCTCCTCCGTAGGGTCCTCCCTGGTTCATCATACCTTGCATGCTGTTGATGGCCCCCGGCCCTGGGCCATACGGAGACCCTGCTCCCATCATCCCCTGGGGCATATTGGGGGGGTAACCTGGAGGCCTGGAAAGGGGGGGAGCGACAACATTATATAAAACCATTCACAATGGTTACGATACATGACAGTTATAAAACAACACGGCAATATTCTAAACATGTATACAGAAGAATATCGTGGCTGTCGGATGAAAAGCTCATAACTGTATGTTCGTCAACGGGAAAATATGGCTGGTTTTTTTCCATTTCCTGAAAAGTTTCTGTTTTGGAGATGAGAGGCTTTCATACTGTATTTCTCATCCCTCCCTTTCCTTACAGAGGCCCCCATCTTCCTAAAATGCCTCGTTGTCTCCTTCCCCTCTCTGCTCAACATCCTCCGTGAACACTTGAGTTGTGCTCAGTAGGGCACACGATAGCAAAACACGCAAAAAAAATAAAGTATTTCTCTGTTTTAAAATGTTTTACTCCATACTGAACAGGGCCCTGTCTTACCTCCTGATGTAAACGTCTGTGTCTCCAGCCTGTCTCCCTCTGGAGCTCTGTGGCTAATGTCTTTCTCTCTGTGGCTCTGTTTCTCTGCTTGGAGGCTCAGCTGACTTTCTGACTGAACAACTGTGTGACTCACTGCCTGGATCACTGTTCTCATATGCCACCTATCTTTCCTCCCTGTCCCTGTGTTCTGTGTTCCCCTGACTGGTCTACATCTTAGCTGGCTGGTTGGCTCACACCTGACCTCTCCTCTCTCACACAGCAGAGCCTGGGAGTGGGAAGAATCAAACAATGGGTTTTTCAGGGTCACACACAAACACACACACAATTTCCAACAAAGAGATGAACCATATAATATTGAATGGCACTCAATGCTGAACTGTCTCCTAAAGCAGCAACGCAGTGTCGTTGAGTACAGACCAGGCAGCTTACCGGTTGTGTATAGAGTTGGCTCCGTGGTGCATGGCAGAGGCTGCATCCGGAGGGCCCCCAGGGCCCTTCCTGTTCATGCCTGGAGGGGGGCACATCCCAGAGGTCACCTGTGGGGGCATGCCGGGGCCCATGTTGGGGCCCATCCCGGGGCAGTAGGGGCGAGCACCCATCTGACCCGGACCCATCCTGCCAGGGGGCATGCCTGCATACGGCGCCCCACCAGCCTGGCCTGGCATAGGGTTCATACCAGGGTTTATGCCCCCCGGACCACCAGGGTAGTTGGCGTTGGGCATGCCACTGTAGCCGGGCTGTCTGGGGTAACCTGGAGGGTGGGGAGAGAGACAGAGACATCCGGGGACTGTTCAGAAGGGCACACCGTAATTTGTGTTATTATTGGATAAGTCCATGTAGTTCCTCCCTGTTTCATTCAGTTACAACCCAGGACTTACTCTAACACAGCAAGAGTCCTAATCCTAAAATGGAGCCTTGATTGAATCAAAATCAAGAAAAAGGACTTAACAGCTAGGCCTAATATTTGAGTTTAAAAAGGAGGTTTTTATTCAAGCAGATAGATTGATACCTGTGGTGAAGCTTTAGGCCTGTTGTATGTAGCCTGTGGTGAACCTAGACCTAGCTTGCCTCATTGAAACCTTCTAGCCTCCGGCATATAGAAACCTGTCTGGGAGTTTCAGTGGTCCACGTCTAAATTTAACTCCACAGATATAGCCTCTCTCTCGGTCTCTGTGCTGACAGGCTAGCTGATGAAACGGTGTAGATGCTGGGCTAGAGTCTGATTCGATGAGTTATCTATCTCCATACTTCTTCAAAGACCGTGAAGAAAGCCCTCTGAGGGAGAGTGCTATTCTACATTTAAAATGCAGCTTCAAAAGGTTCTCTGTATCTAGGCTACCTCAGAAACGCTGTGATGGTTGTAGGATGACAATTGAAAAATCTTTTCAAAGATTAGAATGTTCTGATCTTTTTTAACATTCCAGAGAGCAATACAAGGCTATAAAAGAGAGGAAAAAGGAGAGTACAGTGCTCCTACTATCTCGACAATCAATGGCTTTACGATCAGGACGAGCCCTGGGTGTATGTTACAGCAATAGCACTTCAAAGCAGCAAAGGGGAGCACATGGTTACTACAGGGCTTCAGTAAGAGCTAGAACAGGAGGATCATATCCTATTGACACTTTCATTTTCCCTTCTCTTCCTCCCCACTCCTTTCACTAAGCTGTGAGAAAATTATTCAGCAGCTCTTGGAGGACATTGTTAAAGGGATACTTCAGGATTTTGGCAATGAAGACCTTTATCTACTTCCCCAGAGTTAGATTAACTTATGGATACCATGTTTATGTCTCCGCATCCAGTATGAAGGAAGTTAGAGGTAGTTTTGCGACCCAATACTTTCTAGCGTTAGTGCAATGACTGGAAGTGTATGGTATTTATTGCGCTAACGCTAGTTAGCAACTTCCTTCAAACTGCACGCCGAGACATAAAAATGGTATCCACAAGTTTATCCAACTCTGGCAAAATCCTGAAGTATCCCTTTAAAACCAAGGTGCTTCAGCATGCAGCCTTCATCAGGGGTTTTAGTCACATGGAGCGCCAAAAAACAATGCATAGCTGCCATCTGTTTGTATGAGGTCTACATAGTTGAGACTGTATCTTCTTAAAGCTGCAATATGTAACTTTTTGGGGCGACCGACCAAAATCACATAGAAATGTGTGTTATAGATCTGTCACTCATCGAAAGTAAGTCTAAGAAGCTGTAGATCTGTTCTATGTGCGCTATTTCTATGCTTCTTGTTCTTAAGTTTGTTTTTGCGTCTTTTACTTCCGGTTTTGTACACCAGCTTCAAACAGCTGAAAATACAATATTTTTGGTTATGGAAATTATATTTCACAGCGGTTTAGATGTTACAATGATTATTTACACTATACTTGCTTGTTTTGTCACAAACTGAAATTAGGCTAACTATTAGAATTTTAGCAACCAGGAAATGGGGAGCGATTTCTGCATAGTGCATCTTTAAAATGTTCTTAACCAGGTCATCATTAAGCGGGACAGAACAAACTTAATGACTTCACTGTGCACAAGCTGTGTACGGGGCCTCACCTTGTGGTCCGTACTGTCCGCCCTGAGGGCCGTAGTTCCCCATGGAGTTGTTCTGAGGGTAGGGCCCCATCCCAGGATGCATCTGGCCTCCCGACGACTGGCGAGGGGATAAGGCGGAGCCAGGTTGCTGCGGCGACCCGTATGGAGGCATCTGGGGGTTACGCATGTACACTACAAAAGAGAGAGAGGGAGATAGCGAGAAAGATGGAGGAGAGGAAAAAGTTAGCTATACTCTTTAAATTTACACACAGCAGCCATAGAAGTATAGTTTTCATTTCCTAAAAGCCTATCAAGGTCGGGTGTTGAATGTCAATCAGTCCTTATCCAAACAAACCATAAATAAGCAAGGTGATTTGTAGATCGTTCAGGCTGCAGTCGCCCGCTTCAGGGTAGTCGATCTCAAACACGACCTATATCTTTTCATACTCACCCCTGTCCTGGCCCATGGCTGACTGGTTCATGGATGAGTGGAGGATGCCGTCTGAATGGACGCTGGGCGGCCGGGGAGGCATCTGGTTACCTGCGTGATGACATCAACAGAGAGCACCACAGCGATTCAGACACGCTGGGCATCATAACAAACAGACCATGCTTCTGTATCGTACAACAAAAGCTGTGGTTTACACCTGCTTTAGGAAGCTGGACGTGTACAATGTGATAGATTACTGCTTCTCTCTGGAAACCAGTGGCTCTATTCTCTCTCCCTCTCTCTGTACCCACCTGGCACGGCAGCAGGTGAGAGGGGTCCGGAGCGGGAGGGGGTGACGCTGGCAGGGGAGCCCACAGGGGAGGGGGAGGGCCCGCGGATGCCAGGCAAGTGGGGCGAGGTGTGAGGGGAGAAGGGTGACTGGGCGGGGTTACTCTGTTCCCCCTGGCTACTGGACACCCCCGACGTGCTGACCCCTGGACTCAGAGCCCCCTCCGTACCCGTCGGCAGGTCATCTATGGAACCAGAGAGGTCCTGGAACAAGAGAGAGGAGAGAATTAGAACCACAGAATGAAATAGAACACTAGGAAGTATGAATCGAGAAACAGTATTTATTTGGAACAAATGATTTTTGTTATGCACTAGACAGCGGTGATGTTCACTTGGATATTGAGGGTTGTACAGTTCAGACATATTGGGCAGCAAAAGTCAACAGTCATCTCATCTGGCCAAAGTCTACAGAGGGGATCCACATAACCAGAGACCAGCAAAGAAGAAAACAGACCAGGGTTTCCGTTAGCCGGTAATTGCCAGCTTTTGTGTGCGGTTATTTTATTTTTTAAAGCCGATAAAATTGTTGGCGGCCAAATTTACTGTGAGAAAAAACAACGTTAGGCAGGCTATCAGCACGTCAATCACCACTCCTAATGTGAGCTGGAGGAGGCAGTATGCATTTGAAAACATACTTAATTGTTTGAAACCTGAATGTTTTACTTCATATTATGAGGCATGTCTTACCTTGCTTGAAAATCCAACCATAGAGGCAATTATTTTATAAAGACTTCATAGGAGGCGCATGAGTTTCAAGTTCGGGGAAGCATACAATTTATCCTACTGTTTCTACCGATCTTCGTGCCAGTTATGATTTTCATATGCTTTTCGTGGAACACTTTCATTTCAATAATAACGCTTTTGTTTCTCAAAATCATTGTCATGTGGTTAATCATAAAAATCGTGAATAAAATGTAAAAGTTCAAATTCAACTAATGCGAAAGCACCAGCCTCTGCCATATGGACACACTGATATACCATGATCATTGGCGGCTAAATAGTCTAAATGAGTGCATGGAACTCAGAGATGGCCAATGCAGCCGGTGGCCTAGAACTTCCATTGGCAACTAAGTAAAAATACAAAGCCGACAAATAAAAACAGTAGAAAATATACAGATGAAAATTCTGGTTCTTTCAATCAAATTCATTTCTCTACTCAGCCTGTCTTTCTATATCAGTCTTGACTTGAGCTATCACTAGTGAAGTGCAACATTGTATCAAATCAATCAACTGGATCCCAGCCAGAAGCAGTCTCTAGTCAATTTGCAACATTGTATCAACTAGCTTATTCCCAGAGTTTCCAGCACCAGTGAGCTAGGGACAGACAGCTGTTTTTGCGCAAGGTATTTTATGATGTTGATATTGATTATAATTTTGCTCTTTCACACAGAGGCTTGGTTATTATCGAGGGGGAGATTGTTGGAAAGATTTTTCAAATAGGCCTACTGTGAGGAAATATTAGGCTATCATTCACAATGTGTGTTTAAAAAACAGACTTTGTTGACTTACTGTGTGAGGTAAATAAAGAATGACTGGAGCTCAGCTTATTAGTGGTGGACGTGGTGAGTTAAGACAACCAGAAATCCCCAAATGGGCATTTTCCTACATTTGCGTACAGCAGGCCAGATAGGCTACTTCTGGAACGCTCCGTCAACGTCAGGACAGAGAAACCTATAGGCTATCTTCGCCACACACCTCTACCCTTCTTCTTGTCTCAACATTTAAAATTATACTCAAGACACATTAACTTCACACATATTTCAGATGCTTTTCACTGACAGCCACAATTCAATAATCAGCTAGGCCTTCCTAGTTGTTGCATCTTTAGATTCACCCTCTTTCTAAATTTAACAGAGATTTTATATTTCTGTCATATACCACATGCATCTGGTGCATGTTTTCCGCAAATTGCATTTTAGCGAATGTTTGAATATTATGTTTTATTGTCTGCTTCATTACAGGAGTTGCATGGTATGTTAAGATTAATTACCATTATTTAAATATGATTTCTGTCATTCTGAGCACCATGGGTGCATATGCATATGGGTCCAGTAAATTTCTAAAATGGACAGTAAATTAAAATCTTCCCGGCGCCACATTTTCCTAACGGAAACCCTGTGGAAACCATGCAACAGACCCACCAGATCACTTTAGAGAGGCTGTGTGATCCTCTCAGCAGAACTACTGGAATCCGGTGTCCAATTCAGAAACATTAGCTGCACCATTTATCCATCTGGCTACTCAAAACACATTGTGGAGCTAATACATTTTCTCCAGTTCAGGACTCAGTCAGGCCCTAATGCCATGATGTGGTAATGATATTGGCAGGAGAGGTGAGGTGATTGTGTTTGAACAGGAAGTTGAGAGTTGTTTACACATGCTGTCTATAGTCACGTGGATCCCATGTGCTCCTCTCCTCTAACAGCTAGCTAGCTCATCTGACAGTCACATTAGAGGAGGGAGGGAGGGAGGGAGGGAGGGAGGGAAAAAATAAGTAGAGGGAGGAGGTAGAGAAAAAAAACACTCCCTGGAAGATGGCCAAGTATTCCCACAAAAATCTCACACTCAGTGGCAGGCAGGCAGAGAGGCTGGCTGCGGCCCCGAAGTAGGCGGTTTTCAAGTTGAAACGGCGCCCAGTGCTATTTTTGGGACGTGACCTGACGAAGGCACCCCAGAGGGATCGACAGAAGGAGGACGATGATTCAGGAACCCTCGCCTCCATCCCTCTCTCTCTCTCTCAGCAAAGAGCTGTGAGTGCCGTGACCCAACGCAGGAACATGTCATTATGGGTGCAATCATGTGTAACCCACAGGAGAGTTGAGGAGTGTGTGCCTGCGTATGTAATTCCACTCCATAGCACTGGCCTTGCCTTGGACATTACGAGAGTTTGTATGCGTGTATGCGCGCGTGTGTGTGTGTGTGTCCCTTTCTGTGAGCAACCCAGGGGGGTGCAAGTCGATAAAATAAAAATGCTCAGATTGGGGGCTAGATCAAAAAGCGAGGAGGCATTCCTGGTTAAAGAGCCATGTCGGGATCTGAACAGTGTCAGCTGACCTCCCCCACTCTGGACACAGAACACACATCACAAGACCAGTCATCTGACAGCAGGGCTAACGGGAGGCAGGCAGGGAGGCAGGCAGGCAGGGAGAGAGAGAGGAAGCTCAGGTAAAGCAGTCATTGTAACATTCTGCCCAGGGCCCAGCCCCAGTCCTGCCTGCCTACCTCCCTGCCTGAGGGCCCCACTCAGTCTCACAGAGAGAGAGCAAGAGAAATTCCATCCCCATCCCACCAAGGCCACAGGGCCCTGAGGCAGGGGTTAGGGGTCAGAGGTTAACCCTCTAAGGCTGTGCTCTGTAATCTTACCTCATTGAGAGGTCACATACATAGACAGGAGTCAGGACTATAGAGACATTTAGCAAGACCAGGAAGCAGGGGTCACGTTAAAGTTCAGAAATCTGAATTTTTCAAAAACATAGACCATCCAAAAATCTGAGTTTTAAACCATTTCACCTGTGTTTTATATTGAATGTCAACTGTGTTTGCTTCAATAGAGTGATTAGAGGTGTGCAACTATAGTTCTCCTTCACAGAAAATACATTAGTGCAACATATTCTGCACAAAATAGCTTCCTTTTCATCAATTGGCAACTATTTGGCTAGCAGCAACACAAGTAAATTAGCTTACAATGAAAAAGCAAGGTATTTTTCGTCAAAACGATGCATGGCGCTTGCAACGCCAGGGTTGTGGGTTCGATTCCCACGGGGGGCCAGTTTGAAAAAATGCTAAATGACTAAAATGTAAATGTAAAATGTAAGTTAATCACGAAAGGTACCGGAGAAAATTAGCTACACAGAGCGTTTTATCATTTTCTTTGAGTGAAAAACGCAGAATTCTGTGTTAACGTGACCCCTGGGAAGGGAGACACTGAATGTGACAAGAGGTATGGTCCTGCTAGTGTGGAGCTTAGAGAGAGAACAACTGAATAAGCAGATCTTACGTGCGCGCACACACACACACACCTCTTTAAAATTCCCCAAACCACTCCCCCAACCAAAGCTGCCAGCTGTGATCCCTGGATACAGCCAGCGCTGTGTACACACACACACACCGAGCCTCCGCCTAGCTACTCCCACTCTGCAGCCAGTCATTGATTTTTTCCAACTCGATATTAGCAGCAGCAGCAGAGAGAGAACCCTGAGAGAGAGCCCTGCTCTGCTCTGTCTTGTTCAGCTTTGCTGACTAGACACAGAAAGAGAAAACTGGGCTGGCAGCACTCTACCTACTGCTGCCATTCACCAGACGTGTCACTCATCACAGTGAAAGATAGAGAAATGGAGAGAGGGAGGGATGAATGAGGGAGAGTAGAGAGGAGATGGTAGAGTAAAGAGGGGCTGGGGGCAAAGACTATTTACCCCCCCCCAAAAAAAAATACAAAACAGACCCCTATGCGAGCCCTGACAACATCCCAAATGTTGTTATGTTATGTAGTAAGGCTAAGCTAGTGCAACATGGCAGAGAGAGAGTGGAAGCAAGTGCTGCAGCTCCTCTATAGCACCATCTCCCTCTATGCTCGGCGGCAGCCATTTTGTGTTTCCAGCTAACATGGGAACTTGCATGCCGGATTCCATCTTTTACAGCGAGAAACGGACAGACTAAAATAGAAAAACGTGTCAATTTTTTCTAAAGACAGAAATGTTAACAAAAAACAAACTTAAAATCCCTAAGGTCCAGTCTTAGGAGACTAATTACACCCAGTTTTCATAGTCTTATAGTAAGTAGCCATGTTGTGTCTAAAGCAGCCACTAGAATAGCCATACTGCTCCACAGTCTCCTGCTTCCATCCCAGTTCAATTCACTCTACAGTCTAATGTATTCCATTTACAGATTCCTTCAGTGAATCAATCTGGCTAAACTCCAGCCCATTAGTCTACTCTACAGTCTTTTTCTACAATGACTGTATCTGAAATCACACCTTATTCCCTATTTAGAGCACTACTTTTGATCAGAGCTCTATGTGCCCAGGTCAGAAGTAGTGCACTAAATAGGGAATAGGATGCCATTTCAGGCACAGCCCATGAGAAGCAGAAAGTAGGGGAAAGTGGAGGTGCTATGATATCACCAGTCAGTCAGTAAGATAATGTAACCTAGCTGCTATCTGGAGGCTGGGCTGTGACCGTGTCAGGACTAGTAGTGTAACAGGATCTGGGGACTAGTGGGCTGGGGGTCCTGGAAGAGTTCAGCCCACAGTCACCGACTCTCAATGAACCCCCTCTCTCTCCGTTTCTCTCGCTCTCTCCATTTCCCTATGGCTTTCTTGCTCACTCTCTCCCTCTTTCGCTAGCTCATCCACTCACTGCCTGTCAGGTTTCCTGTTCTCAGTCCTCTGTACACAAAGAGGCTCAAACACACACACACACACACACACACACAGAGGTGAGGGGGGAGAAATAATAAGAAAAAAATTGCTGCCGTCTCTGGGGCTGCCATGGTAACCATACTCCACATGCGTTTCCACATGAGTGCAGACACCGCCCCTCCCCCTCATCCCCTCTCCTCCCTCCCGTCCTCCCTGTGAGCCTGCTGGGGTCACGGTGCAGTCAGCTACTATAAAGAGGAGCTGTCATTGTTACAGGAAGCTCAAACAGACCAAAGCCATCCTCCCTCCCAGCTCCTCACACACACACACTTTAATTACACACACAGCCACCGGTGGCCTGACACACACACACAGCAGAGGCAAAAACCTTCAAGTGTTCAGCAGTGTTTATGTTTACATCAGCTATAGTGCTGCTCTACTAACTGAATACTAAACAGTACATTTACCTCCTGTTACTATGGGTAATACATGTCTCTGATCTTCTCCTTAGAAGAGCTGAAATGACTTTTCCCACGACCCGATTTCACTATCAAACAACATCTCACCTGATTTCACTTCCATTGATTTCTCCCCACTGCTTCAGCGCATATCCACTACCTGGACTCATAGATGCAAGGGTCACGACACCTGTACTGCAGACATTTTATAGGTTTAATATCACAACAAATATCTATTTTCAAATTTGCCTTTCTTTCAGTAGTTTTTGGGAACCATTTTGAATTCTGTGAGTAAGTGGCTCCACCTTAGACCCTCATGACGTCTGAACATACGGACACCAGCGTTAGGCTAGTGTTGAACAGGACAGGTGAGGGAGGTGAGGGGTGCAGGCCAGGGGCACTGGGGTGACCCTCCACAGTCAGGGTAGAGGGTTAGGGATGTCCCCTGCGTACAGGGCCAGGGTAGGGTGTTCTGGGTATCCCAGTGTGGGTGTAGAGAGAGAACCACAGCCCCAGCTCTGGGTTGGCTAAACTGAGCTCCACCATAAGGGGGCACTCCTATCCCACAGTGGAGAAAGAGAGGGAGAGAGAAGAGGAGAAGAGAAGAGGCAGGCCCCAGCCTCATACAGCACAGTAGCCATTACCGTTTCAGAAACACAAGGCTACAGGAAGAGAAACTCACTATACCAATGGTATCTATACAACATAGAGGCAACCATACACACACGCTATACAATCGACAACAAAACATTACTGAGGCGTCGACCGAAACAATTGTAGAATATCAAAATATTCAAGCAGGGGATATTTGATTACATCTGCATGCAATTAAATTAAAATCATCCCACCCACTAGTTTCTGCTCTGAGGGCAGGTAAGGTAGCAGAGCCAAATACTAGTCAGTATACCCCAAACCTCCTCTAGCCCAAGCCACTCTGAACCCCTCCTATTCTAAAAGGTATGTTCCCTCTACAGACCTAGTCCCTTCCCAGTCCCATCTCCCCCGAGACCAATATTAGCCTGCTACTTAATACAGGAGACCATATGGGGATTGTAATTAATGGAAAAGGTAGAGGAGGGAAAGTGGGAAGGGGAAATCGTATAAAAAGATAACAGATTGCTATTAAAAATGATATTTAGCAATAAACTAAATCAATATTGCTCAGCTGTTCTTTTCCGATTTCTAGATGACTATGCTTAGAGCACGGATAGGTCACATGTTTAGTCATGAAAAAATGGTCTACCTGACTATATATGTTTATAAACATTCAACATCTGAACATTTGCCTAATTGAGGTTCTCTATTGGTAACAGTCCCACACACACTGCAGCAACCTGTGTGCAATACATAGCAGAGAGAGGGGGGAGGTCTGATTGCTGTGAATAATGGGGCTAGGGTAAGTGTGTGTGGGGGAAGCAGGCAGCTGCCCAGGCCAGGGTGAGGGGTGCTGGGATCGAGAGGCTGGAAGGGAGGAACAAGGGTCTGCCTAGCCTGCCTGATACTAGGGGCTAATCTGGGGGGCTGGGAGGGAGGAACCACAGCCTGTCTGCCTGATACTAGGGGCTGGGGTTGGGGAGCTGAGCATCTTGACTGGCTGCATCACCGCTTGGTATGGAAAATGCACCGCCCTTGACCGAAAGGGCTACAGAGGGTGGTGCGGACAGCCCAGTACATCACTGGGGCCGAGCTCCCTGCCATCCAGGACCTCAATATCAGGCGGTGTCAGAGGAAGGCCCGAAAAATTGCCAAAGACTCCAGCCACCAAAGCCATAGACTGTTCAGTGCTACCGTCCGGCAAACGATACCGGAGCATCGGCTCTTGGACCAACAGGCTCAGAGACAGCTTCTACCCCCAAGCCATAAGACTGCTAAATATCCTGACTGCTAAATAGTCAATTAATGGTACCCGAACTATCTGCACTGACCATCTTGCACTCACCCTACGCACACTCACTAGAATATTCAGTGCATGTGACAAATAAAATTGGATTTGATTTGAGTCTGCCTGCTTGCCTCTCTGCCCGCTTCTCCAGAGCAACACCCCTCCCACCGATGACAGACACCCAGCAACAATCCAAAGTAGACTAGAGGGCGCTGCCAAAGCCCTTCACTGACTGACACAACCACTGTTTCTCAGAGCAGAAAAACAAAGGTGATTTAATCTAAAAGAGCATAACTTAAAAACATTTTATGAGCTGTTTTGGTGCATCTAAATTCCCCGTCCAAGCAAACACCACGTAGGAAGAGGGGGAGCAGAGAGGAGAGGACAGCGCTGCAGTCAGCCACAGCCTTTGTGCTGCAAAACTAGCTCAGCCCAGCAGAAATGGAGAGAGAGGGGAGGGGCGTGCTTATGAGAGAGAGAGCGAGAGAGCGTGTGCGTACAAGAGCAAAAAGCAGGCTGGGTTTACCAGCTCCAAAACAATTCACTGAGGCAAATCCAAACAATACACTTTCTCAGCAGATTGAATTTTCTCAAGTACATTCATTAAAAATCACATATGTGCGGACGGGGGAGGGAGAATGAGATGGAGCAGAGAGGGGAGGGGGGGAGTGAGAGCAAGAAAACGAGTAGAGAAACTGAGAGAGACAGTCAGCCCAGGAATCTGAATAAGACACGTGGGCACAGGAAGCTCTGGCCCCAGAATAGCAACAGGAAACACGCCCAGGAAACTGAATACTGCAAAGGCAGGCAGAGCAGAGAGTGAAGCTCGCAAAACAAGGCTGAGCCGGGCAGCGTTACGAAAGCTGATTTATAGAGAGAGAGAGACAGAGAGACCAAGAGAGAGAGAGAGAGAGAGAGAGAGAGAGAGAGAGGAGTGATTCCTCACGAAACCAGGACAAAAAAGGGCCATGATTTTCAGCATTTTCACAACATTTAATCCATAGAATGGTCCTTTGGAGGAAGGATTGTTGACATTTGTATCTAAAAGCATAATTGAGAAATAATGAATTAAAGTTAGCATTTTTATGACATTTTGGCATTAACCAGGCCTCCTTTAAGACTCCATAATGTTTCACCTGTAGGTGCTACAAAGCAAACATTGGTGTCATATGAAGCTTTACCGCATGCTATGTAATATGAGTAGTAGTTTTATTTATTTTGTATTTATTATTATATACATTTATTGAAAAATAAACATGAATATAAAACAATTGTCAAATGTTTCTACATATTGTTGAACATAATATACTCTACGGGCATATTAAAAGTCCCAGAGTGGGATCTCTGTTACTTTTACAGTTATGATCCAATTCGTAAGTATTACCAACAGAGGGAATGTGAAAATGGATTTTCACATTCTGCTGGTGATTTGCTGGATGTGCAATGATGTAAAAGGAGGGCTGCGATCGGTTCCATTGCCTACTATTCCAATTTCTAAAACGGGCCATTCCAAGGAAAGGCAAAATAAGGGTTGGAGCTGGGTAGGGTTGGAGATCAAAAAAAGTGAGCCGGCCTAGCTAAGCAGAATGCTCCAGAGCAGTACCGCACAAACAAGCTGTACTGCTGGAGAGTGGAGAGGTAAGTACTTGGCACATACACTATAAGTCATGGGGGTCTGTTTTGGAGATGCGGGTGGACTGCTAAAGGCGTCCGCATGCTTCCCCGCCGAAACAGTTCGGAAGAGTCCGTGCATATATTAAACGTGTTTTTTGTTCGTTTTGGACGTTGGTAGCCGAAGTCGACACCCCTTCGTCGGTGATTGGTCAACAGTATGGGTTCTTCAATAAAGTCTGTTGTCATTCAACGAGAGACTAATTGTTTTTCATTGATAAATACTGCACCAAGCACAATGATCTCTACAAAAATGTCAAAATTAATGACCGATTTCTTTAATTATCTTTGATTAATTCTGACTATTTTGAGGAAGAGTATATTGACTACGGCGTCTCAAAATTAACACACTTCAAGTGAAGGTATTTTAAGGGAGTAAGCAAGCACACGTTCGGTTCGCCTAGCCACACCAGCCGAACTGAAGCATGCCGACGCCTTAACTGTGATGCAAGCCACTGGAATTCCTGTGTGAAGGAATTTAAGGGTGGAGACCAATTGGCCTTTCCTCTCTCACAAACACACACGCCGGACAATACAGACCCTGAATTGTAAAAGTTCTGAATCAAACTACTTCAGATGAAACAAAAGGGTAAAAGAGGAAGGGATGGGTGGAAGGAGGGAGGGAGGGAGGGAGGGCGGAAAAACAACAGAGCGAGTGTGTGACCAACATGTGACCTTCCTCTCTCACTCTCCCTCTCTCTCTTTCTCGTACAGAGCTCTTTCAGTCAGTCAGTCAGTCAGTCTCCACACACCGACAGAGAGCGGTAGAGAAAGAGAGAGGTTGAGGAAGAGAGAGCCGCTGTCACATACCATGATCCTTAGCAGCGGGGGCACAAGACCAAGACCAGTGGGAGTGTCAGTGGGATTAGACCCACGTTGGGAGAGGGGTACAAAATAAACTTTCAGAGAGGGCAAGAAGGAAAGGGGTGGAGGGAAGAGAGGAGGGGGGTAGACTTTCCCATTCCCACAGAGGGCTGACATGGAGAGGAAGTGTCACTTCCAGGGAAAGTGAAAGGCCTGCCTGGCTGGCTGACACTGACAACACAAAGAGAGACCACTACCCTCCCCCTCTACACATCCCCAACACACCCCAGACACACTGACAGACAGACACACCTACAGTGTTGTATGTAGGTCTGGGTTTCATGGGGCTAAAACAGAATTCTACAAATAACTATCAGAATATTACCTATTTCTGAGAATACTGCTTCCTATGTCATAACTTTGTGCCTTATAAATTAGAATACAATATCCATATAACCCAGGGGACTTCAACCCATGCTCCTACAGTACTGACCCCTGAAGGTCTCTTCCTGGTCAGCCCTGCCTGGAGTCCACCGACCTGAGGCCAAGCCGAGGCCAAGAAGGAGTCCCCAGACCACCTCAACTCACCTTACCTCGTGGTCGTCTTGCGTTTAGAAATACGTATCAACATTGTTATTTGTTCACTAATTTTCCCTTTACCTAATATTTGGTTTTGGTTGAAGATCTGATAAGATTCAGTGTAAAGAAAATATGCAAAAACAGAGAATCAGCACTGTAGTTATAAGCAATGCTTGACTCATTTTGTGTGCTGGTACGGTTTATATTTAGGTGCAGGAGCTCCACAATACTTTTGAGATAATATTTTTAAGAGGTGCAGGAGCTCAAGCAGTAGAACATTTGAGGTGCTGGTACTCAGCTGCAGAGTGAAATTGCATATTTCAGTTTTGTTGATGAGCACCATCTAAGGGCATTGGTGGTACTGTAGTTCTATAGCCCTGAGGAATGCAGTTCAGAAAATCAGCCGATCAAATTCACTTTATATACAAAAGTATGTGAACACCCCTTCAAATTAGTGGATTCGGCTATTTCAGCCACACCCGTTGCTGACAGGTATATAAAATTGAGCACACAGCCATTCATTCTCCATAGACAAACATTGGCAGTAGAATGGCCTTACTGAAGAGCTCACTGACTTTCAATGTGGTACAGTCATAGGATGCCACCTTTCCAACCAGTCAGTTCGTCAGATTTCTGCCCTGCTAGAGCTGCCCCGGTCAACTGTAAGTGCTGTTATTGTGAAGTGGAAAAGTCTAGGAGCAACAACGGCTCAGCCGCGAAGGCCACACAAGCTCACTGAACGGGTCCGCCGAGTGCTGAAGCGTGTAAAAATCGTCTGTCTTCGGTTGCAACACCCACTACCGAGTTCCAAACTGCCTTTGGAAGCAACGTCAGCACAAGAACTGTTCGTCGGGAGCTTCATGAAATGGGTTTCCATGGCCGAGCAGCCGCACACAAGCCTAAGATCACCATGTACAATGCCAAGTGTCGGCTGGAGTAGTGTAAAGCTCGCCGCCATTGGACTCTGGAGAAGTGAAAATGCGTTCTCTGGAGTGATTAATCTCGCTTCACCATCTGGCAGTCCGACGGACTAATCTGGGTTTGGCGGATGCCAGGAGAACGCTCCCTGCCCGAATGCATAGTGTCAACTGTTTAGTTTGGTGGAGGAGGAATAATGGCCTGGGGCTGTTTTTCATGGTTCGGGTTAGGCCCCTTAGTTCCAGTAAAGGGAAATCTTAACGCTACAGCATACAATGATGTGCTTACAACTTTGTGGCAACAGTTTGGGGAAGGTCCTTTCCTGTTTCAGCATGACAATGCCCCTGTGCACAAAGCGAGGTCCATACAGAAATGGTTTGTCGAGATCGGTGTGGAAGAACTTGACTGGCCTGAACAGAGCCCTGACCTCCACCCCATTGAACACATTTGGGATAAATTGGAACGCCGACTGTGAGCCAGGCCTAATCGCCCAACATCAATGCCCGACGTCACTAATGCTCGTGGCTGAATGAAAGCAAGTCGCCGCAGCAATGTTCCAACATCTAGTGGAAAGCCTTACATTTTAGTCATTTAGCAGACGCTCTTATCCAGAGCGACTTACAGTTAGTGAGTGCATAATTTTTTTTTTTCTTCATACTGGTCCCCCGTGGGAAACGAACCCACAACCCTGGCGTTGCAAACGCCATGCTCTACCAACTGAGCTACACGGGACTCAGATGAGAGATCCACCTCACCAAAGCGCTGCAAAGGCTCATACCCTTTTCCTAAGCCGGAAGCAAGTAGACACATTTATTTTTAAACTATTTTTTATGATATTGAAATTAGGCTGTTATATTTGGAAGTTAAAAAATGTAAAACGACTTCCCAGAAGAGTGGTGGCTGTTATAGCAGCAAAGGAGGGACCAACTCCATTTTAATGTCCATGATTTGGGAATGAGATGTTCGACAAGCAGGTGTCCATATACTTTTGGTAATGTAGTGTAATCAGAGATGTTCATTTGAAGTTGAGTAACTTGGATTAGCCGAGAGGTCATTAGTGGGAAACACTAAGAATAACGTGTTCACCAGAAAGGGGAGTGTGTGTGTTTGTGTGCGTCCATGCCTACACTGGAACAGCATAAGCTGACGCATTTCAAACAGAAAAAGGAAATGTTATTAAAAGAATTCAAGTGAACTGAACAGAATAAGTGCAGTATGGGGAACAACACAGTATGTGGAGCTCAACAGTAAGAAATAGTGTGTGTGTGTGCACAGTTCAGTTAGCAACCTGGCTGAAAACAAACGAGGAACCAGCTCAACTCGTCCAGCTGGTTTCAACCTCGCTGCTAGTCTACCTGTCTGCCTAGTTTTCCCCTTTCTTATGCTGGTTGTTCTTGTTGTTCTTCTACCAGGGCTTGACTACCGTCAGTCAGTTAGGCTTGTGATTTCCCACAGGAATATGCAGCAGACCAAAACAGACTGGTTGTCAGCACCTGGCTCAAACAGACCTGTGTGGATGTACAGAGGCTGAGGAGGTGTTGCCTTGCTAAAGTTAAATAATGTCCATCATGTTATTGTGAAACCAAACGGAAATGTCCACAGTGTGAACAATTACGTTTTTCAAAGTCACATTTTAAAAGGCAGTGGACCTAAGCTATCCTAAAGCTACCTACTTGACATAACATAATGATAAAACTATCAATGTGGTCTGTTCTGGTTGGGCTAGCTGTTGGCATTGGTTAAGGCAACACTGGCTATATGATCTGGTTGAGGCTGCCAGTGTATCTGTACTGTTCTGGCTGAGGTGTTGTCTGCCTGCCTGGCTGGGTGTCTGTGTGTGTGGCTGCATGTCTGGCTGAAAGGCAGCATGGCTAATGTTGGCGGGACAAATCTGCACACTGTGTCATGTGCACTCCACGGGGGAAGGTAGGGGGAGGGGGGGGGTGGCTGGCAGCGAGGAATCTGCTGGTCCAGACCTCCGCCAGATTAATGGCTCTCATAGCCAATCAAACACAGCCGATGGGGGAATCCCCAGGAAACAAATAACCTCCTTGGCCAATGGCTGAGCCCGGAAATAAATAAATACACTTATAAAGAAATAAATAAAAAAGAGGGAAACATCCTGAGGACATCCCCCACTGGCACTGACAAATCTCTATCTCCCTCCTCGCTCTCTCACTCACTATTTAAGTAATTTGCTTGCACTTCCTCACTCCCCTCCCTCCCGCTTTCTCTCACTTTCATTCTCTCATTAATGATCTCATTTTTCCACTTTCCATCCCTGCAGCCTTGTTCCCTGTCTAAACCTATAAACAACCACAAATACTGACTACTCCTGGACTGTTACGCTCTTTCACACAGAGAGAGTAGGGAAAGTTCAAAACCTGTTTCATTTAGCTTATCATTTCCAATCTGGGATTAGATAAACTGAGCACTTGCTAATTAAATAGGGGTGAAATAAAAAAGGTAAATATGTTTTCACCTGCTTCTCTAGACAGGTTAATTGTGGTTCAGTAAATGTGGACTTTTTGTCCCTTCTACTCCTTTGTTCCTCCCACAGCTCCACCAACCAGCCCTTTCCTCACCTCTCCGAAACCTGATTCACCCCTACTCCCTGTGGAGTGTGAAGGGAACACTCACGTCAGAATAGCTGTCAACCCAGGAGAGAGTGGGTGACGTGTGTGTGTGTTCCAGCTGATTACCATGTGAACAGTCAAGGTCAGGGGTATACAGAAGATCTCCCTATTTGGTAAAAGACCAAGTCCATATTATGGCAAGAACAGCTCAAATAAGCAAAGAGAAACAACAGTCCATCATTACTTTAAGACATGAAGGTCAGTCAACACGGAACATTTCAAGAACTTTGAAAGTTTCTTCAAGTGAAGTCGCAAAAACCATCAAGCGCTATGATGAAACTGGCTCTTATGAGGACCACCACAGGAATGGAAGACCCAGAGTTACCTCTGCTGCAGAGGATAAGTTCATTAGAGTTACCAGCCTCAGAAATTGCAGCCCAAATAAATGCTTCACAGAGTTCAAGTCACAGACATCTCAACATCAACTGATCAGAGGGGACTTTGTGAATCATGCCTCCATGATCAAATTGCTGCTAAGAAACCGCTACTAAAGGACACCAATAAGAAGAAGAGACCTGCTTGGGCCAAGAAACACGAGCAATGGACATTAGACCGGTGGAAATTTGTCCTTTGGTCTGGAGTCCAAATTTGAGATTTTTGGTTCCAACCGCCGTGTCTTTGTGAGTCGCGGTGTGGGTGAACGGATGAGGAGGTGTTATGGTGTGGGGGTGCTTTGCTGGTGACACTGTCTGTGATTTATTTAGAATTCAAGGTACACATAACCAGCATGGCTACCACAGCATTCTGCAGCAATACGCCATCCCATCTGGTTTGGGCTTAGTGGGACTATCTTTTATTTTTCAACAGGACAATGACCCAACACACCTCCAGGCTGTGTAAGGGCTATTTTACCAAGAAGGAGAGCGATGGAGTGCTGCATCAGATGACCTGGCCTCCACAATCCCCCGACCTCAACCCAATTGAGATGGTTTGGGATGAGTCGGAGGGCAGAGTGAAAGAAAAGCAGCCAACAAGTGCTCAACATATGTGGGAACTCCTTCAAAACTGTTGAAAAAGCATTCCAGGTGAAGCTGGTTGAGAGTGTGCAAAGCTGTCATCAAGGCAAAGGGTTGCTATTTGAAGAATCACAAATATATTTTGATTTGTTTGTTTAACACTTTTATGGTTACTACATGAATTCATATGTTATTACATAGTTTTGATGTCTTCACTATTATTCTACAATGTAGAAAATAGTAAAAATAAAGAAACCTTGAATGAGTATGTGTCCAAACTTTTGACTGGTACTGTATATATACACGTGTGTGTTGAGTGACAGACAGGTAGTCTGTGTTGGAAGGGCTCACCGGTAAGCTAGAAGGCCGTCCCTGCATGCTGTCCTCTGCTCCACTCTTGTTGGAAGTCATGGGCTGGTTGGAGGGGGGAGCACTGGACTGGGAGCTGAATGAGTCCTGGGAGAGCTCCTGAAGAGAGAGGGAGGAAAGAAAAATAGACGAATGTGTGTAGACTGAGGAACCTACACTTTCTTTTTCCATATCAAAAGAAATCGTCCTGACGAGTAACCCTGCCTGTATACCTGAAGACTTGAGTTAGCTCACCAAGCTAATGCCTAGGCCTTAGTTCAGCGGATAGGTGGTGTTTTACCTGTGGCGGAGGTGGAAACCGCTGGAAGGGCGACTGCTGCAGCGGTGGGGTCTGGGAGTAGGGTGAGGGCTGGCCCTGCTGAGACTGACCCTGCTGCTGTGGGGGTCCACCGTGGCCTGGAGAGGGATGGTGGCCCTGAGGGCCCGGGGAGGGCTGGTGGCCTGGGGGTGGCTGCTGCCCACCATGGCTGGGGGGTGGTTGGTGGCCTGGAGAGGGCTGGTGGCCTGGGGGTTGTTGATGGCCCGGGGTTGGCTGGGCCTGTGGAGCGGCTGCCCTATCTTGCTGCTGCTGGGGGGGTCCTTGCTGCTGCGAGGGGGGCTGCTGCTGTGGAGGCTGCTGCCCCTGCCCTGGGCCTGGGGGTCCTTGCTGCTGAGGGTAGCTGGGCTGGGGGCCCTGACCCTGGGGCCCGGGCTGGCCCTGCTGGGGCCCCGACTGCTGCTGGGGCGGTCCCTGGTTGTAGGGTGGCTGGGCCTGGGGTGGACCCCCCTGCGGAGGCCCTTGGCCCTGGGGGTAGGGGCCGGGGGCCCCAGGCTGGCCGTGTTGGGCTGAGGGCTGGCCCTGGGAGGGGTGGACCTGCTGGGGGTAGGGGGCCTGGGTTCCAGGGGTAGTCTGGGGCTGCTGAGGATAGGGGGCCTGCTGCTGGCCGTAGTAGCCCTGGCTCTGCTGACCGTAGCCCCCTGGACCCTGCTGCCCATAGCCGGCCATCTAGAAACAGGACAAACCGCAATGTTGTCACAGATTTAGTCGCTTTACTATCTACATCAGAGTGTCACAAACTCACAGTCCATGGGCCAAAATGCGGTCCGAGGACCAATTTAATGCAGCCCAATGAAGAAAATGTGTGCCCAAGCAAAAAGAAGTTGAACCTCTGGTCTACATAAGGTCACGGTTATTTTAGTCCTATTGAGACCAAGGTCTCTTTTACAAGGAAGCCCTGCATACACATCATTTACAAAATACAATATAATATGAAATACACAAACATGACAAATAGATACATGAAAAACAAGCACATTAAGCGGTTAACAAAAAGCGGTTAACATAAAACGTAATATACAGTGGGGAAAAAAAGTATTTAGTCAGCCACCAATTGTGCAAGTTCTCCCACTTAAAAAGATGAGAGAGGCCTGTAATTTTCATCATAGGTACACGTCAACTATGACAGACAAAATGAGAAAACAATATCCAGAAAATAACATTGTAGGATTTTTAATGAATTTATTTGCAAATTATGGTGCAAAATAAGTATTTGGTCAATAACAAAAGTTTCTCAATACTTTGTTATATACCCTTTGTTGGCAATGACACAGGTCAAACGTTTTCTGTAAGTCTTCACAAGGTTTTCACACACTGTTGCTGGTATTTTGGCCCATTCCTCCATGCAGATCTCCTCTAGAGCAGTGATGTTTTGGGGCTGTCGCTGGGCAACACAGACTTTCAACTCCCTCCAAAGATTTTCTATGGGGTTGAGATCTGGAGACTGGCTAGGCCACTCCAGGACCTTGAAATGCTTCTTACGAAGCCACTCCTTCGTTGCCCGGGCGGTGTGTTTGGGATCATTGTCATGCTGAAAGACCCAGCCACGTTTCATCTTCAATGCCCTTGCTGATGGAAGGAGGTTTTCACTCAAAATCTCACGATACATGGCCCCATTCATTCTTTCCTTTACACGGATCAGTCGTCCTGGTCCCTTTGCAGAAAAACAGCCCCAAAGCATGATGTTTCCACCCCCATGCTTCACAGTAGGTATGGTGTTCTTTGGATGCAACTCAGCATTCTTTGTCCTCCAAACACGATGAGTTGAGTTTTTACCAAAAAGTTATATTTTGGTTTCATCTGACCATATGACATTCTCCCAATCCTCTTCTGGATCATCCAAATGCACTCTAGCAAACTTCAGACGGGCCTGGACATGTACTGGCTTAAGCAGGGGGACACGTCTGCACTGCAGGATTTGAGTCCCTGGCGGCGTAGTGTGTTACTGATGGTAGGCTTTGTTACTTTGGTCCCAGCTCTCTGCAGGACATTCACTAGGTCCCCCCGTGTGGTTCTGGGATTTTTGCTCACCGTCCTTGTTATCATTTTGACCCCACGGGGTGAGATCTTGCGTGGAGCCCCAGATCGAGGGAGATTATCAGTGGTCTTGTATGTCTTCCATTTCCTAATAATTGCTCCCACAGTTGATTTCTTCAAACCAAGCTGCTTACCTATTGCAGATTCAGTCTTCCCAGCCTGGTGCAGGTCTACAATTTTGTTTCTGGTGTCCTTTGACAGCTCTTTGGTCTTGGCCATAGTGGAGTTTGGAGTGTGACTGTTTGAGGTTGTGGACAGGTGTCTTTTATACTGATAACAAGTTCAAACAGGTGCCATTAATACAGGTAACGAGTGGAGGACAGAGGAGCCTCTTAAAGAAGAAGTTACAGGTCTGTGAGAGCCAGAAATCTTGCTTGTTTGTAGGTGACCAAATACTTATTTTCCACCATAATTTGCAAATAAATTCATTAAAAATCCTACAATGTGATTTTCTGGATTTTTTTCTTCTCAATTTGTCTGTCATAGTTGACGTGTACCTATGATGAAAATTACAGGCCTCTCATCTTTTTAAGTGGGAGAACTTGCACAATTGGTGGTTGACTAAATACTTTTTTCCCCACTGTATTTTTCTACATTAGGCTAGATTAAATCAAATTAAATAGAAATACTCTCTTTACTAGCCCTTTAAAACATCAGTTGATGGTCTTGTGGCTTTTCTGTACATAAAAAGAAAATTGGCGTTGTACTCTTCTCAACTAACTCCAAAGAGTAGCTGACCTTGCCCTGCAAGTACGCTGAGGAAAGAAATGAAAACAAAAGCCGTGTGGTGTCTAGCAGGGCACTTACCCTCTCAACGATTCAAAGAAAATATGAGGAGTTGCAGAAAAGACCTGCATCAAATCCACTTGAAGTGGCTGTTGTCTGAGACAGGTAACAATGAGACAGGACTTGTCTCCTCTACAGGGTGCCTATAACACCCAACAGGCCGCCTATAACACCCAACAGGCTGCCTATAACACCCAACAGGCCGCCTATAACACCCAACAGGCCTATGTGTGTGTGTGTGTCTGTACCAAAACGAAATTACCCATTTAAGCTGTGACTGCATGGAAGTGTGATGAGCGAGAAAGAGAGAGCGGGAGCGAGAAGGATCGACAGAAGAGCGTTACCAACCTGTTGTCCGTATTGCATGCCACCCATGCCGGCGGAGGTGCGTCCCTGCATGCCCATAGGGTACCTCTGAGGCCCCGGTGGTCCATAGCCCTGGCCTGGGTAGGAGGCACCCTGTTGGGCCCCTGGAGGAGGAGGGCCCTGCCCCTGGCCTTGCTGCTGCTGGGAGTAGGGGTTGGCTCCACCATACCCCTGGCCTCGCATCTTCCCTACATGGTCCATAGGGCTGGGGGGCTGGAGAGAGAGGGGGAGGGCTTGTTAGGAACCAAACTTAAAAAGACATTCATACATTTATTTCCATCTTTAACATTGCAATCGCTGTACTCCTGAATAAAATAATTTGAACCAACTCAACTCATTAAAATGTGACCCTGTGAGGAATTGTATACAAGCTAAGCAGGGGAAAAAATGGTATGAGATGTCACTACGGAGTCCCATAACTAAGCCATGCCGCCGGTGGGAAAAGCGAAACCTATGAGGGTATAGCTAAAGAATGCTAACAAAACAGTCTGGACGGATTGGTTTCCCACAAAAAAAAAGGGAAAGACTTGGCCATGAATGAATGAGCCCAGTCTACTCCCTCCATCCCTTCGCCAGGAGCATTTGACTGCCTAGGAGATCAGAATGCCAGTGGGAAGATAAAGTTACGTTCTGACGTTGGGGAGTGTTAAGGTTCCTATGAAAATAAAGTTACGGTTCCTATGAAAATAACCTGGAGGAAAAGGAAGTATCCGTCTGTCTGTCTGCGGTGGCTGGAGGCGAGCCCACTCCTTCAGCTGGAGGGGAGAGAGACATCATCGGAGAGGAGAGGCCTGACCTTGCCTGCACCTGGGGTGGACTGGCTGGGGGCACATGGCTGGGGCAGCGTCTCACACACACACACTTCCTTTCTCACACACACACACACGGTCACACACGTACAGTAACCTCAGTACCAAATACAGTAGCAGCAGTAACAAACACAGTAGCCACCAGTGTTTCCCCTACTACTGAGAGCTGAGGAGGGCTAGTTGGTATTGCTCCACTCTTATCTTTAACTCTGCATTGTTGGAAAAGTACATGTAAGTAAGCATTTCACTGTTAGTCTACAGCTGAGGTCTACAAAGCATGTGACAAATACAATTTGATTTGACTACAACACCTGTTGTTTTCTTATACATCTGAGCCAGTGTTCACCTTTGCTACCGGCAGCAACCACCAGCGTACAATCAGAGAGGATGCTTTGAAGTACCAGGCAGCAGCACCTCAAGCCTCTTCGTCCCAAAGACAGGAGGGCAAGACACAGACACAAAGGTACAGACAAAACGCCTTCTCACTGCTTCCCACGGTTATTCATCCATGTCTTGTTTTTCCCTCCCAAACCTCAGTGCCTGGTTATAGGAAGACAAGCACAATCTATTTATAGCCCAGACCAGAGAGCGGGAGAGGGCAGTGTGCCTGAAATGTAACAGGTCCCAGCTGTACGGCGTTTGAACCTGTGCCAGACACCGGCTCCTCTCCGCTCTTCTCTTCCTGTTTTAATAACGCCGTTTTGGCACCGTATGAATGACACTCGCGGTATGGGGGAGGGAACCGGTCCCATGGGGGGAGCAAGGGGGAGGGGGAGAGGTTGTCAGCATAAGGAGATAATACATTCCACCCACTCCACATTTTACCTCCAGCCAGCCCAGCAACCCCCAGCGCAGGCCTCACTCTCTCTTCAGGGCTACCCCAGGTTCAAGGACAGAGTGTGTGTGTTACTATACTCCCTAGGGTCATAAAAGGACCTCACCACAGGGAGGTAGTCTCCTATGACCTCTCCTGCACTTTTAACCCTGTCTGTCTCGGAGTCTGAATGGATGTACATGGCATCCAGCCACACGATCTTCTAGCTATCCTCTGGCTAGAAAAGCTAAATACTGTCTGTTTGCAACCACTTTCAAGTTTGATGTATTAAAATGCTTTTATTCCTTCAATTAGGTTCAAAACAGAATCACCGCCATGATAGCTTGCCTATATTACAGAAAAATACAATTGGTTTTCCAAGCTAACAATAGCGGTGTTAATCTTCAGGACAGTGAGGTTATCACTTGAAGAGAAAAACTTCAAGTAGTTTGGATGGGTCTGTCTGCCACTAAACTAGGATGATCCATCCTGTCCAGTCATCTTCCCTCCCTCCAGCCACGTGTACCTACCTAACCCCTGTGTTGACATCTCCATGGCAACCACATATATCCACTGTGTGTTCACACAGTAAATAACCTCCCCTAACAGTACCTAAGCAGGTCTGTGTCCCAAATGGCACCCTATTCCCTATATAGTGCACTACTTTTAACTGGAGCCCAATTCCTTATTATATATATTCCAAAGGGCTCTGGTCAAAATGTGTGCACTTTATAGAGAATCGGGTGCCATTTAAGGCCTCTAACAGCTTTTTACCAGCCTTCCTTTTTTATGATCAATGACAAACACAGAGACATAAGAAAAACAAATATAAAACCAATACAATGGAGGCAGTCATTAGCTTACTAGCCTCACATGGGTGTCATCCAACCACAGTCAGGTGACTGACCATCCTCTATACTATTCTTCCATTGATCGGTTTACTACCAAGCCTTTCCTTATAATTGTTGAAGTTGTTCAAATGTCTGACACACACACACTGCCCTGTCTCCGAGTCCCTCTGGGATCCGCTTGAGGAGTGAGAGAGATGGAGCATGAGAGAGAGAGCGAGAGACTTGGCTTTTCATTCTCCTGGATAGAGGTCAAGGATTGTTATGGCATTCTGCTCCTTACCTCACATACTGAGTACCGTGGCACGGTGCTTCTATGAATGAAGTGTTGCTTTGACCAGAATTACACCAGACCAGGGCTGTCCGAATAAAAACAAATCTTGGTCGACCAAGAGTCGTCTGTTCATTCGGCCAATTGATTGGTCTAAATTTTAAAACGTGTATTTTTCCATTTACAGTATAGACACATCCTATGTGTTTTAGTCAAATCAACTATACTGAACAAAAATATAAAACGCAACAAGTAAAGTGTTAGTCCCATGTTTCATGTGCTGAAATAAAAGATCCCAAAATTGTTCCATATGCACAAAAACGTATTTCTCTCAAAATGTGTTATATCCCTGTTAGTGAGCATTTTATCCTTTGTCAAGATAATCCATCCACCTGACAGGTGTGGCATACCAAGAAGCTAATTAAACAGCATGATCATTACACATATGCACCTTGTGCTGGGGACAATAAAAGGCCACTAAAATGTGCAGTTTTGTCACACAACACAATGCCAGAGTCAAGTTGAGGGAGCAAGCAATTGGCATGCTGACTGCAGGAATGTCCACCACAGCTTTTACCAGATAATTTTTTAATGTTCATTTCTCTACAATAAGCCGGCTTCAACGTCGTTTTAGAGAATTTGTTTAGGAAAAGCATTCCCTATTCCCTCAACCCTTGATCTCTTTACGTACATTTTAGTCATTTAGCAGACGCTCTTAACCAGAGCGACTTACAGTTAGTGAGTACATACATTTTCATACTGGCCCCCCGTGGGAAACGAATCCACAATCCTGGCGTTGCAAGCGCCATGCTCTACCAACTGAGCTACAGGGGACAACTGAGCTATGTGACACGTTTGCGTCACATGCACGTCACCAATAGGTCCTGATCTATAGCATATCATAATTACATCAATAAATTGGTTATAACAAACTCAGAACACCGTAACACGTCATCTGCATCCATTATGCTGTCACGTGCGGGGGAATGTTTACTGGTTGCTCAGGAAGTAAAGGGGAAGTCAGATGTGTGGAATAAATTGAGACCAAAATGTTTGATTGCATTTCAAATCATGAATGACTCGTATGCTGTGTGATGAAATTAACGAATTAATGATTGATTGATATAGTAGCCTACATAAATATTGAAATATAGGCCTAAGTAAATTACGTTAAGGAATAAACAGGATGCGCTCTTAGGCCTACAGCTCGATGGTGGTTATCCAAGGCTGCTATACTAAGCCTACTAATGATAATGACATTACTTATTATAATGATGATCACAATAGTAATAATAACAATAAGGAGATCAAGAAAAAGGAGGGTTATTATTATTTCTGTAGATATACAGTGCCTTCGGAAAGTATTCAGATCCCTTGACTTTTTCCACATGTTGTTACGTTACAACCTTATTCTAAAATTGATTGTTTTTCCCCCCTATCAATCTACACATAATGACAAAGCAAAAACAGGTTGCTTTGTTGAAGCACCTTTGGCAGCGATTACAGCCTCAAGTCTTCTTGGGTATGACGCTACAAGCTTGGCACACCTGTATTTGGGGAGTTTCTCCCATTCTTCACTGCAGATCCTCTCAAGCTCTGTCAGGTTAGATGGGGAGCGTTGCTGCACAGCTATTTTCAGGTCTCTCCATAGATGTTCGATCGGGTTAAATACGGGATCTGGTTGGCCCACTCAAGGACATTCAGAGACTTGTCCCGAAGCCACTCCTGCGTTGTCTTGACTGTGTGCTTAGGGTCGTTGTCCTGTTGGAAGGTGAACCTTCGCCCCAGTCTGAGGTCCTGAGCACTCTGGATCAGGTATTCATCAAGGATCTCTCTGTACTTTGCTCCGTTCATCTTTGCCTCCATCCTGACTATTTTCCCAGTCCCTGCCACTGAAAAACATTCCCACAGCATGATGCTGCCACCACCACGCTTCATCGTAGGGATGGTGCCAGGTTTCCTCCAGACGTCACGCTAGGCATTCAGGCCAAAGAGTTCAATCTTGGTTTCATCAGAGCAGAGAATCTTGTTTCTCAAGGTCTGAGAGTCTTTAGGTGCCTCTTGGCAAACTCCAAGCGGGCTGTCATGTGCATTTTACTGAGGAGTGGCTTCCGTCTGGCCAATATACCATAAAGGCCTTATTGGTGGAGTACTGCAGAGATGGTTGTCCTTCTGGAAAGTTCTCCCATCTCCATAGAGGAACTCTGGAGCTCTGTCAGAGTGACCATCAGGTTCTTGGTCACCTCCCTGACCAAGGCCCTTCTCCCCCGATTGCTCAGTTTGGCCGGGCGGCCAGCTCTAGGAAGAGTCTTGGTGGTTCCAAACTTCTTCCATTTAGGAATGGAGGCCACTGTGTTCTTGGGGACCTTCAATGCTGCAGACATTTTTTGGTACCCTTCCCAATATCTGTGTCTCGACACAATCCTGTTTCGGAGCTCTACGGACAATTCCTTCGACCTCATGGCTTGGTTTTTGCTCTGACATGCACTGTCAACTGTGGGACCTTACAGTGGGGAAAAAAAGTATTTAGTCAGCCACCAATTGTGCAAGTTCTCCCACTTAAAAAGATGAGAGAGGCCTGTAATTTTCATCATAGGTACACGTCAACTATGACAGACAAATTGAGAGAAAAAAATTCCAGAAAATCACATTGTAGGATTTTTTATGAATTTATTTGCAAATTATGGTGGAAAATAAGTATTTGGTCACCTACAAACAAGCAAGATTTCTGGCTCTCACAGACCTGTAACAACTTCTTTAAGATGCTCCTCTGTCCTCCACTCTTTACCTGTATTAATGGCACCTGTTTGAACTTGTTATCAGTATAAATAAAAGACACCTGTCCACAACCTCAAACAGTCACACTCCAAACTCCACTATGGCCAAGACCAAAGAGCTGTCAAAGGACACCAGAAACAAAATTGTAGACCTGCACCAGGCTGGGAAGACTGAATCTGCAATAGGTAAGCAGCTTGGTTTGAAGAAATCAACTGTGGGAGCAATTATTAGGAAATGGAAGACATACAAGACCACTGATAATGTCCCTCGATCTGGGGCTCCACGCAAGATCTCACCCCGTGGGGTCAAAATGATCACAAGAACGGTGAGCAAAAATCCCAGAACCACACGGGGGGACCTAGTGAATGACCTGCAGAGAGCTGGGACCAAAGTAACAAAGCCTACCATCAGTAACACACTAAGCCGCCAGGGACTCAAATCATGCAGTGCCAGACGTGTCCCCCTGCTTAAGCCAGTACATGTCCAGGCCCGTCTGAAGTTTGCTAGAGTGCATTTTGGATGATCCAGAAGAGGATTGGGAGAATGTCATATGGTCAGATGAAACCAAAATATAACTTTTTGGTAAAAACTCAACTCGTCGTGTTTGGAGGACAAAGAATGCTGAGTTGCATCCAAAGAACACCATACATACTGTGAAGCATGGGGGTGGAAACATCATGCTTTGGGGCTGTTTTTCTGCAAAGGGACCAGGACGACTGATCCGTGTAAAGGAAAGAATGAATGGGGCCATGTATCGTGAGATTTTGAGTGAAAACCTCCTTCCATCAGCAAGGGCATTGAAGATGAAACGTGGCTGGGTCTTTCAGCATGACAATGATCCCAAACACACCGCCCGGGCAACGAAGGAGTGGCTTCGTAAGAAGCATTTCAAGGTCCTGGAGTGGCCTAGCCAGTCTCCAGATCTCAACCCCATAGAAAATCTTTGGAGGGAGTTGAAAGTCTGTGTTGCCCAGCGACAGCCCCAAAACATCACTGCTCTAGAGGAGTTCTGCATGGAGGAATGGGCCAAAATACCAGCAACAGTGTGTGAAAACCTTGTGAAGACTTACAGAAAACGTTTGACCTGTGTCATTGTCAACAAAGGGTATATAACAAAGTATTGAGAAACTTTTGTTATTGACCAAATACTTATTTTCCGTCATAATTTGCAAATAAATTCATTAAAAATCCTACAATGTGATTTTCTGGATTTTTTTTCTGGATTCTTTTTCCTCATTTTGTCTGTCATAGTTGACGTGTACTTATGATGAAAATTACAGGCCTCTCTCATCTTTTTAAGTGGGAGAACTTGCACAATTGGTGGCTGACTAAATACTTTTTTCCCCCCACTGTATATAGACAGGTGTGTGCCTTTCCAAATCATGTCCAATCAACTGAATTTGCCACAACTGTACTCCAATCAAGTTGTAGAAACATCTCAAGGATGATCAATGTAAACAGGATGCACCTGAGCTCAATTTTGAGTCTCATAGCAAAGGGTCTGAATACTTATGTAAATAAGGTATATCTGTTTTCTATATTTTAGAAATGTTTTCTAAAAGCCTGTTTTCGTTTTGTCATTATGGGGTATTGTGTGTAGATTGCTGAGGATATATATATATTTTTAATCCATTTTAAAATAAAGGCTGTAACGTAACAAAGTGTGGAAAAAGTCAAGGGGTTTGAATACTTTCGGAAGGCACTGTATATTAATGATTTATAAAGCCAAGCACATTTAACAGTCATGTGAAATCCATAGATGAGGGCCTAATGAATTTAATTCAATTGACTGATTTCCTTATATGAACTGTAACTCAGTAAAATCGTTGCATGTTGCGTTTATATTTTTGTTCAGTATAAGTTTGGGTTTCCTCTCTTTTCTTAGACATTAGCTGTTTTCTCATCTAACGCCACTGCTGCCTACGCCACATTGTTCTCAGTACCAATATGCTGGGTAACTTTGCTATTATGCACATGGCAACATGGTCTAGGAAAAGGTGCCAATTCAACAGCGCACTGATGTTTTAGAACCACGGACAGCAACCGCTATCCAACGCAGGAGAAAGCGCATTTTTCATAAAATAATATTATTTCTAGTGTTGCACCATTGTTCTTTGTAATATAACCATTTACAATTTCAGTAGCTGTCTTAGAGTGATGGACTGTGCCATCCCCACGGCCTCCACAATGGATCAGTCCACTCAGACAGGCGCCAATCAGACCGGTGACTTGTACACCATGGAAAAACTTGTTTTTTTGGCTACTGCTCGACTAAAGAAATCTCGGTCGACCAACAGCATATCGACCAAACAATCGACCAGTCGACTAAATGGGGCCAGCCCTACACCAGACACATCAAGGTTGGTATTTCAACACCTCTAAATTCTTCATCATGATGAATCTTACAATATCGTAAATAAATCCTACCATTTCTATCTGCTTACATTCCTAAAAAAAGAATAGTGTATTCCACATGAGTTTGCAGAGGCATGTTTTTTTTCAGTGTAGCCTACATTCTGAGTTCATGCGGTGCACATGTGTTCAGTTCTAAGCTGACCGGTGAGAATGACAGTAAAAAGATTGCAGCTGAAGACATTCAGAGGTTTATGAGCCAACCAGAAGGTAAGAAGCCCGACACTCCCTCCCACCCTCGCTCTCTCTCTACCCCACACTGTTCTCTCTCCTTCTGTCCAGTCATCTAATCAATCACTGGAGGAAACTCCTCCCTCCCTCCTCTGCCTTTTTTTCCTCCCTCTTTCCCTCCAAAATAAATAACTAAATGCAATTAGCACATGGCTAATCTGCATAGTGGAAAGCCAGAGCACTCTTGGCAAAAAAGGTTGAGCTGGGTATATTGTCTCCCAGCTGAGCCTGGGAGGGTGGTGGAAGGGTTGGGGAGGGACTGATGAAACTGGTGCACTCTCTCTGTGTGCGCTCTTTCTCTCTCTGTGTGTGTGTGTGTGTGTGTGTCGCGGTGGACTCAAACAGATGGGCTGGGGGCAGACGATAAACAAGTCCTGCTAATTTCATCCGCCACATGGCCTAGGATCTACAGACTATTGTTCTGTTGTAAAGCCCTCCACCCACGCACACTGGGGCTCAAGCACTCAGGGCCTCCCTTAGATGGGCTGTCACTGTCACTTAGGCCCTATGGACTTGCTGGTTGGTTTTGAGTATGTCAAACATGGACATTAAGCTATTTAGAACGGCTACTTCAAACCAACCCAAAGAAATAACTAGTAAACCTCCTGAATAGGCCTAATCCAGTGAGTGTTCACACATGCTAAGGAAAAAGACTACTCTTTGCTTTCCGACAAGGGTGTATGAAGGAGCAAGAACACCCATAAGAACACTTTCTATACCAGTATGTCTGTCTTCATCCCTGTTCCCCTGACTAACACAGGCCCATAGCAATAGCTGGTGAAACACTGTTCACAGACTAACACAACAGCTAAGAAACAATGGTCTATTAACAGTCAATTACCCGTTGGTTTTTAAAGTAAATATTATGTCTGGTGGGCCAAATAGTTATTTGTCTGAGCGGGTTTCTCTGCAACCATCCATACCTGTTAAAGAGCTAATGTAAACAAAACTAATGTAAACAAGTTAAACCCATGTCATGTTCTAAATTAGCAACTCTTTCTTTCCTTCCTTCCCACCATATCGTCCGGCCTGCCACTCTTACAACAGCACTGGTTAGGACTCTAAGCTGACCGCTAGAAGACTGGAATAAAAGGAGAAAAACACCTTACCTGCTTCCTCTCCTTCCGTCTGCGGAGAGAGATAGAGAGAGACTGATGCACTACACTACTACAACAGCATTACACACGCTCAGATGTTCCTCCAGCTGTTGGAAAACATTCTAAAGATTTACAGGACAAAAGGATTCAATACAGGAGCTCACACACACCATGGATTAAAAACGCTTCAATTTAACCCCATTGGAAGCTAACAGGATGAAACAAGGTTAACAGGCCTTTAGTTTTGAGCCTAAAACCTACATAAAAGAGGAGGCTCTTATGAGCATCATTCCCTTCCCTGTGAGCTGATCTTGTCCAGAGGGGCCCAGTCATTTTCTCCTTCGGGCCGCTAGCTTTCACTTGGCACCTGCCCGGCGGGCCACAGGACAAATCACCTGAATGTTGAACTCTGCTTTTAGACTAGATAGGCTACTCTTCTTCAAATGTAAGAATTCCCCAATATTATCTGCAAAGTACTGTCTGGCCTAGGTTGGGAGGAGAACACAAAGCTGTAGCCTTCACACACCAAACACAATATCACAGATCAAATCCTCAGATTTTCTTCTATCTATTCAGCGACCAAAATGTATTCTCCCATTGGACAGAACAAATTGTATTTTTTCAGGCTTTTTCTTCTTCTATAGGCAGCATTATATCAGGTCAGAGATAAGAGAGTGAACAGGACCCTCCACCGCAGAACATTAACCTGTCAACCTCAAGCCAGACCCATCTTCTAGCCAGGTCACCATTCCTGTCCTGAAGAGAGGCTAGGGGTGCTGGTGGTTGGACTGAGGGAGAAATAAAACACTCCATAGGGTACAACCCTAGAATAATTCAGCTTTTTTGATTGGCCAACCATCAATGTCCTGCCTCTGCTTGAATTTCATTGGCCATGCTGTTTTCACCAAGCCAGAAGTTAAGACATTTGCAGCTAATAGGGAACTATTTTGGTTTAAGGGTAATGTCATGGTTAGGGTTAGTGGTTAAAATCAATAGGCTACGTGGCCTGTTAGGCTAGCCTGTATTTTAACCAGTAGAGTGGGCCTGTTTTATGCATCAGCCAAAGAGATAAGACAATCCCATGATGTCCCAGCCACAGGTCATGACGTCCTCAGGTGTTTATACCAGCCTAACCACAAGCCATGATGACCTCAGTGGCCTGGCCTGGATGACCCCTTACGATAATAATAAGTGTGTCACTCAGTCACTACACTACCATTTATGCGCCAGAAATACCCAGCTGAACAAAGCCAGCAGGGCCAAGCCAGGCAGGCAGGGAGGAACAGAGGGTGCTTAAGGATCTGTCTGGGTCACAAACCTAACCCACTAACACTCAGTCAGACAACACCTGACTGACTGATGTCATTCACCCTAGTCTCAACTGACTCAAGTACCGGTAGTTGGTCGCCGTTATGGGTAAGCACGCCTCTGAGGCGGAGTAGAACCGTTGGACTGGTGAATTTGCACATCCAGCAACAACAGTTAGCAATACACACACACACTTCTCTAAGCAACAGTTAGGCCTGAGGCATGCAAATTCTGGGGTCGTGGAGAGGTTGCATGGCGGGAGATATCAACGCTGCAGCCTGCCACACCTACACCTGGCCTACATGGTGGTGGAGCCTGAGACCCAAGGAGAAACAATACTAACAGGTTTCAGAGCAGTAGAACAAAATGAGAGTCAGTAACTGTACCACTTAACTTTAACTTCTGAAATATAATTTTGGTTTGCTCAAACCTCCCCAAAATACATTGCAAGGAGACTCTGCAACGTCTGCTTTCCCATCCCTCATGAAGCCAATGGCATTTTAGCACAGAGAGCTAGTCTGAGCAGAGCTGTGTATGAAAAGCTGTGAGGTACAGTAACAAATCTACCTACCCCCACAGAATCAACAGCTGAAACGCCATTCCCCCCTCAACAGCAACACATTTAAAGGTTAACCTGCTTCTCTATAAAACACACATGATACGTCACGTAAATTAAGTCTGCAGCCACGCTAGCATATTACTATGCTAATCTAGTGCATTTTAAAGATAAACCACCTAAATGTCAAAAGAAATGAATTACCCTTACATTCCAACCTGGACTAGAGCAACAGCCCAAGTTTGACATTTTGTCCAAAACATGGGGAGACGAGAGGAATTCGACTGAATTTTGAATGGGTTTGCCCCTTTTTTATTGTGTGTAGTCCTAAATAAATCATAGCAATTAAAACATTTAAAAAATGGGTAAAAGTGGGTTGATGAAGGCAGGTAAAGGTGGTGGACACAACGTGTGGAATGAGAGAATAATGACGGGGGAAAAGAGGAGTGAGAGAGGGACTGTCCTTCGTTTGTCACACCTCCTAGACTGTTGTCTCAGGGCGGAAAAAGACTACTGTCTGTGTTACTGAAGAGAAGAGACGGATGGCTGGTGGCACGTGGAGCACTGAGCCGGTCACAGAGAGAAGATCCTCCTGAGGCATCCGCCACGCGGGAACACACAGTCAGTCAAGCACACACACACACACACACACACACACACACACACACACACACACACACACACAGCTGTCACAGGCAGCCAAAGATCATTCACAAAAACATCCCCCCTCCCCTGGGTATCACTCACACTCTTTCTCCCCCTCTCACACACAGGATCAGCCCGTCACACAGCGCACACACAAACGAGGCAGCGTGCTGTCCTGGCTGTTTGGCGTGTGGATAATCATTACTCTGCACTGCTGACATACAGAGAAGATAGAATCCTTGAGTGCACAGCCACAATACAATAGAGCACACCTCCTGTCCAGTCCACTGGCTACACAGCACATCTCACAGTCCCCACCACCTCACTGGCTACAGCAGTGTTTCTCAACTCTGGTCCTCTCAAGTACCACCAAACAGCACATCTTGGTTGCAGAGATTGACAACATTTCACCTTAAAATCAGTAAACATGCTCCTATCAATATTTACCTAGAAGGTTCCACAAACTGGTAAAGCCATCACCGTCAGTATGGGCAGGCTAGTTCTAGTGCAGGGAAACTGAGGCCAAAGCCAGTCAAACTGAGACTTCACCTGGACTTTGGTCCACCAGATCAAGGTCCCTCTGTCAAACTTCACTACCACAAACGGACACACGAACACAACCTTTCTCTAGCTGAATGTGTGGCCCACTACCATATGTCAATGTTGGTAGATTAAATTATTCCAGGGTTTTTGTTGTCACAAAATAAATGTACACAAACTTTATTGGACACCAACCAGATTTGATTTCAGCCTGATGCGTCTTGTTCTCTCACAGAAAAGGACTGGGTCTGTCTGTCTGGGGATGTAACAGTCAACCTTTAGGCTAGGTTTTACAACCAAAAGGACCAATTAGCCCACAGACATTAGGCTAGACATCTCTCATCTTTGCCTCAAAGGAAGTGAGCTCCTCCAACCGACCTTCATCAAGCAATTTGTTTCTCCATCAATCAATCAATTTGCCCTTTTAAAAGCAACATTTGTCACAAAGTGGTTTGCCGTAATCAGGACTAGACCCCAAAAGTGCAAGCAAAACTCTTTCTCCAGCCACTCCAAGCCCCACAGTCTCAGCACCAGTCCCCTAACAACCTGGGCATAGGGTAGGGAAATAGACAGTGATGACCTCTGTCCACAGATCTGTACAAATACAGAAACTGAAACGCATTAAAAGTCACTAGCATAGTGATATTGTAGCCTAGGCAGGCACAGCTTATTAATGAGAAGGCATCTAGAAGGCTGAGGATAGGTAAAGGCATTTATAGTCCGATGTAACAACTGTTAGAGCATGAGTATGTGAGCAGCACAATTCAAGAATAACATTACATGTCAATCACAGATTGGATTTTAACAACATAACAGGATTTAACACAAGGCTCTCAAGAGGAGATTGCCACTGGAAATTGCATAATTCTTCATTTCTTCGACTCTCCAGCAGCTCCACATGCAGAGCTGTGGCTGAATGCATCACAAATTGCAGTCCTGGGTTTTAAATTGTCCACTACACAGCCAGCATATAGGAGAATTAACAGGAGTCTGCAAACACCAGAGAGAAAGAATGAAAGTGTCTTTAAGACAGGTATTCCCAGTGGCATCATGCAAGTCTCTTGGGGAGAATAATAAAACAGAGAGGAAAAACAGTCCACAGACTGCAATCATAGTCAACTAATTCAGTGGTTCCCAACCAGGGGTACTAGGACCCCTGACGGTACTTGGCCTATCAACAGGGGGTACTTGAGAAGACTCATGAGAACATAGGCCTACTGGTAAAATGCACAATGGGGTACTTCAGGGGTACTCCGGGCAGAGCTAAATTCAATTGGTGGTACAGTAATCAAAAAAGGTTGGGAACCACTGAGCAAACCAATAACAACTTGTTTAAAATGCTTAAAAATATATCTATTATAACCTAACCTTGAATATCATGTGAACATTTAGGGCTAACACGTGCAAATGACATAATTGCCAAGAAACAGAAATCAACAAATTACATCTAAACTTCAATGGATAGAAATGACAAGTAGGCCTAGCTATTCAATACTTATGAGGTTAACTCTACACCTAGCCTACATGTGGTTGATAATATTCTAAAACCAGTAGTCTGTTGACATGGTTACACACTGTGTAGAATCAGGTGAAAGTAGTCATAGTAACTTGGCTGCCACCTTGGCTGCCACCTCTCAAAGAACACAACACATTCTGAAACTCAATGTAGAACCACATAGCACCAGTCAGATTCTCTCAAAGAACACAACACATTCTGAAACTCTACACTGTAGAACCACAGAACACCAGTCAGATTCTCCAGTCTCACCTCTTAGTGCTGATCCTAGATCAGCTAGGAACACTATTCTAGCATGGGGAAAACAGCCACACCTACTCCCTCTGATGTTCCAGAGTCAGCACTAGAGTTCTGCCACATCTCCAATCTGTCTGTGGAGCTGTACATGCATGTAGAAGTATGAACACAGTATTTTTGCATGTAGTCTACGGCTGAGATTTTACCTAGATTTACGCTAAACAAATACAACTGTAATGTATTATAATTTCAGTGGCAGACAATACAGTCATCATGCAAATTACTAGAGGGACTTACACAACATCATGTGTTCAATGAACCCATCCATAAAGTATATTTTACAGTGTTGTTTTATTTAGCATGCATGGACACACACATAAATGTAGGCTGCTGCATGCTGACCGCAATACAAATCAATATTTTGTTTGCATATCATTTAGGCTAGATTTCATGCAACATAACCCGTTAAACAGGCTAAAGTGCGTGAATAACATTAGTAATGTCATCTTGACACTGCCAGAGTGCATGAGCTGATGTGGATGATTTCTGCAGCGTTACATTAGATGCAATTATAAATGGCCAGGAGCAGGGGATGGGGAGCCAATCAGATCTCAGCTAGCATGTCAACCTAAGACCAACTGTCTCCTGGCTTTGACAGAAGGATTTTACCTCCATAATTCAAATCCCAAAGCAAAGTAATCTGCTCTTACTCAAATCACTGGCCGTTTTTACTTGCGGTACAACTCCGGAATACAGGGGCAAAATATAACGTCTCTCTGTCGTTAGCTACAATGTAAAAATCGGAAGAATGATCAGAAGATACAACGTAACAAGTCGCGGGAAGATTTTTGCAACTGAAGGATAGTTATTTGCTACATTTACAAACATCCACCACAGTCACTTTCAACGACAGACGTGTACTTGTTTTATATACAATCCGCTCTGCTTGCTTATAACAAATTGTTCCAATATAATCGAACGTCATCTGTGTCATTGACATCTTGCTATTTAAAATTGGTGTGAAAGCTTGCAACAAACTTAGGGTCTACATGAGTGGATATAGCACAAAAATATATTTTTGCAGGGATTCGTTAGCGACATAGCTAGCTGGAAAAATAACTCATTTCGCTTTATACAGACGAAGCTGAAGCAGTACAAGTTTTGCAAAGAAAAAAAAAATTCGCCTTCAGCCTCCCAATTTCTCCTCAAACTCGTGTCCCCTTTGCCCCTTACCAGGCAAAAGCTTCCCATCTTTACCAGCTCAGTGAGTTTGGTATTTTAGCACAGACATAGCTTGTTTTCTGTTTAAATGCTCTTATAGGAGGTGGTGTGGGGAGAAAACAGAGAGGCAGCCATTTTAGAGAGCTAGATACTGTTAGCTACATAGGCAATGGCTGGTCCACTGGAACCCTTCACTACCACACAGAGCTGTCTGCTGGCTGTAACTTGCTCAAAGTGCACTAGTACCGAGAGAAAGTTTACCTGGTTTCTGTTCAGAGGTTGTCCCGTGTTCCCTGGGCTCATAGGAGGCGGATGGTGGCTCCTTTGTTGCCAACCAGGATGGCCCCCACCATACTGACTGCTGGCCATATCTGCTGCTCCCTTGCTAGCCCCTTCCTGGTTACTATAGTCTCCTTGTGGGTAATTCTGGTAGCTCCTTGTAGGGCTAGGAGACGTTAGGAGCTGATTTAAAGTCGGGGTAGACGTGGGCTGTGTGTTTCCCATGTTATACCTCTGATTATTGTACGAGGCAGCCATAGCTGTAGTTCCGCCTGCTGGCTGTTGCTTCACTGGCTGCCCCCCAGCCGCCGGGGGCTGGTTATTACGCGGGGAATTCATGGCGTATCCTTGGCCCTGATAAGAAGTCCGGTTTGGGAAGGGGCTGTAGTTGTTCAAATGGTTGGGGAAGCCGTGGTCGTGTGAGTTGGGCGGGTATGGGTCCATCATGTTGCCTGGCTGCACTGCCGGCCCCGCTGCAGCTGCCATGCCAGGGCTTTGTTGTCCGCCATGTTGATGAAAAGGGCCCCGGCTGTAGTGCTGGTTGTAACCGTAAGGAGGTGGAGGGAATGAGCCCTGGTGGTGATGGCCCATCCCGGGGTGGTTATTCCCCTCCGGTCCCCCCGTATCATTCTGGTTGTTATTATTATTCACCCTGGACGAATTCCCGTTCCCGTTCTTCATGTCAGGCTCCCCTCCTCCCCCTACATTTCCAGCATCGGCCCCGTCCTGCAGATCCTTCTGGCCCGGAGATCCGTTGTCAGATCCAGGTTCCTTATTTTCATGTTGTTTCTCTCCCGGTACCGACTCCTCCAGTGGGTCCCGATCCGGCTTTTTAAGTTCGGATGGCGGGCTAGTGTTGAGAGTGGCGACGCTAGCGACCTGCGCGGCCATGATATCCCTCTCTGCCTCTCTCACAGCGAGTCACTCACAATCGAGCTCTCTGAATAGCATTTAACATAAATACAATTATTTATAACAATGTACCCGTGTCCCGGATCATTCCCCCTACCTCCGGACCGAATCCGGCATCCACTCCCGTCTCCGATTCGACTGGAAAGTTACTGGAAGAATATAAATACGGATCCAGGGAATTAAATTACCCAACAGAAAATGTGGGGAGGCTTCTGTTACAGAACGAGAGTATGAGCAAGAAACCAACCAAACCAGCACGAGGCTCCGCGAGACACAGCCATTTTACTGAAGCGTTCAGACGAACGCAAAACACGGAGCGGATTATACCAGTAGGTAGGAGGCGACTAGCCTACAACAAGCAGGGATGGATAAAGGATGTATTTTGTTTCAATTAATTTGAAGGGGTTATAGAACTAGAGACTATAGCAGAACATGAGAAATAATGTGACTTATAAATGTAACATAATTCAAAACATTCAATATTTATTCTGTTTTGCGGACAACCACAGAATCTGTAAATCATTAGTTATTTTAATTGCAGGCTATAGATTTGTCTCAAAGCTTCATTCTGTGATTATTAATATAAGAACTTTATTGCAAATCTGCATAGTTATAATGCATTTCGTTTTTCACTTTATACAAAGTAGATACACACATGAAGATGTTACTGGGAGACTTTGTATACTTCTAAACACAAGTATATGTTTATAATTGCATCTTATCAACAATATATTCATACAGTTACAGAGTATTAAGATTGTGAGTGACTCCTTCCATGTGCCATGAGAGAATGAGAGAACTAGCAGAAGCAGAGGGCTTGATCTGTGGAGAGGAAAGCATGAAATTACAGTGTGTGTGTGTGTGAGAGAGAGAGAGAGACACAGAGAGAGAGAGAGAGGGGGGATAGAAAAGGAAGAAGGATGGGGGATGGACTGAGCCAGTCACAGAGCAGGAAGTGAAGATAAAAAAATAGAAATGCAGAGTGAGATAGAGAGAGAGAGAGAGAAAAACAGTGTATGCCACTGAAAAATCCTACATAGAATGGTATATCTAAAGCAAAATTAACCATTCAAATCTGTGTGTGGTTTTGTACAATAGCCTATAGGATAAATGAAGAGGAGATTTTGAGAAAGCATAGTGTAAATAATCAAATGAGAACAGCCACACTCTCCTCTTCCCCACTCTGCTTTCTCTCTCTCTCTCTCTCTCTCTCTCTCTCTCTCTCTCTCTCTCTCTCTCTCTCTCTCTCTCTCTCTCTCTCTCTCTCTCTCTCTCTCTCCCCACCCCCTCTCCTCATTCTCTCCGCCCGCCTGCCTGCCTGCCTCGTGTTCTCTCCTAGCAGCAGCAGCAGCCTCTCTCTGCTTGCAAAAGCAGCAGAACTTTGCTATCAGCACGTGGGGGATGGGCAGCACAGCACACAGCTCAGCACAGCCCTTTTCTCCTCTACAATGCAGGGCTTTCTGGCGATGAGCTACAGCAGCCAGGCTCATACTACTGACTAGCATGGGAAAGGGATCCCTTTAGTTTAAGTTTTGTTTATTATTTTTTCTCTGAAATGTGCATGAAGGGAGGAAGGACAGACAGGCTGTAAAAGGAGGGAGGGAAGGAAGGAGGTGTTGGGGTCAGCAGCCTGCCTGACTATATTGGCTAGGGAGGGAGGAGTGTTGCTGTGTGCTGCTAGAATATAGAGAGAGGCAGACAGAGGAGAGAAGGGGGTTGGGATCTTTCTCTTTTTTCTCTTTAGCGTAAAGTTGGTGTTTATTATAAGGGGGCCCTGTCTATTTTTTACCCCCCCCTGTCCTATTTTCCTATTTTTAAATATATTTTGTCTGCACACTTCTTTATAGAATGTAATAGATAGTATATTAAACAACAGTCCAGGAAATAATGTCTCAAGTGCCTTTGACTTACATGGATTCCACAAACCACTATATGACTTTGTTGCATTATGAATGATTTATAATGTAGAAGTATATTTACGTTTAATTTGTCTAAAGCAGAATAAATACAGATATATTATAAGGTGTTTGTTGGTCGTCAAAATACAATACAGTCTTCATAAAGTAATATATTTATTTGTTGGACCATTTGAACATGGAAAGATTCACGCCAAAGACCCACTCAACTATCATGAGACAGAGGCGGACACTCTGCTTTGGATGGAACTACTACAACCATCCTCAAGGCTTTATAATCTCAAGTCATCAACCACACGAAATAACACTGGTTGAATCAGGTGCTATAAAGACTTTATGAAGTGTTATGAAGGTGTTATGAAGACTATTTAGATTGGACTCCTTACACAGTCACATCTGTCCCATGATGGTGATTTAGGAGTGTTTACTCTGTACCCCACCGTGTAGCTGACCATGATGCATCACCCCCAGCCTGGTGGCCTGGGTTCCTCCACCATCACCACAGATAGACCTGGACACATGCCAGGGGAATACAGCCAGGAACTACTTTTTCTTTTGAAGTCAAGTATTGATTGGAGGCCTCTCTGATAAAACAACAACAGACAAACAATGCGTCAAGGAACAGCATTATTTCAACATTTGGAGTAAACAGTAGGTCGATGGGAGAAACATAATGCTATGATAAGGAAGATTTAGAATACATTGGTTGGAATGAATGATATGAGATTATTTTGTGTTTATTTATGCAATTGACAGCAAGAGGACCTGCACTCAGAAGAAGAGGAAGAAGCACATTGCTGGAGAATGCTCTGTTCTGGCATCCACTAACCACTGTTGCAACCCCTGACTGTGATCCAAAAGTTTAACAACACATAATTCCAACCACATACACTAGACTGAACTGTAAATGATACATGCTCAAAATTCATCATCATGAAATTAAATCCAAATTCTTAGGGCTTTTTTATGAGTTTAAAACCCATACCAATCTGAGTGCAACATCTCTGGCCAATAACATTATGTAGTTCCGTCCAAAGAGTAAGTTCACGAGAGGCCTTGTTGAGCCATTCAGAGTTGTTTTTTTAAGTCTGTCATAAAGCTTAATGTATAAATAGATATAGAGACGTTTTTGTATTGTACATTTATTTTTCTATTTTTTGACCCAGGCGTGCAATGGTAAAAGTGTCAGTCTTGAGGAAGTTAATTGATGACGGATCATTGAGAAGTTTTTTTTAATCCCCAGGGACCTAGTCTGGGAATGGAGCCATTCGATCGCTAAGCCAACCCAATAATGTGGAGTGGAATTTCCTAACAAGACTGAAAATAAGAAAATAATGGCACCGTAGGAGATGGCTGGCGTTTTATGGGCTCCTAGCCAATTGTTCTATTGTGTGGGTTTTTTCGCGTTATTTGTAACTTATTTTGTACATAATGTTTCTGCCACTGTCTCTTATGACGGAAAAGAGCTTCTGGATGTCAGGACAGTGATTACTCACCTCGTACTGGACAAAGATTTTTTCTTTAAGGAGTCGGACGGGAAGGATTTTCTTCAGACATCCGACAAGGCCCAAATCCCCGTCATGGAAAAGAGACTGAGATATCGGGGACGTACAGTGAGGGAAAAAAGTATTTGATCCCCTGCTGATTTTGTACGTTTGCCCACTGACAAAGAAATGATCAGTCTATAATTTTAATTGTAGGTTTATTTGAACAGTGAGAGACAGAATAACAACAAAAAAATCCAGAAAAACGCATGTCAAAAATGTTATAAATTGATTTGCATTTTAATGAGGGAAATAAGTATTTGACCCCCTCTCAATCAGAAAGATTTCTGGCTCCCAGGTGTCTTTTATACAGGTAACGAGCTGAGATTAGGAGCACACTCTTAAAGGGAGTGCTCCTAATCTCAGCTTGTTACCTGTATAAAAGACACCTGTCCACAGAAGCAATCAATCAATCAGATTCCAAACTCTCCACCATGGCCAAGACCAAAGAGCCCTCCAAGGATGTCAGGGACAAGGTTGTAGACCTACACAAGGCTGGAATGGGCTACAAGGCCATCGCCAAGCAGCTTGGTGAGAAGGTGACAACAGTTGGTGCGATTATTCGCAAATGGAAGAAACACAAAAGAACTGTCAATCTCCCTCGGCCTGGGGCTCCATGCAAGATCTCACCTCGTGGAGTTGCAATGATCATGAGAACGGTGAGGAATCAGCCCAGAACTACACAGGAGGATCTTGTCAATGATCTCAAGGCAGCTGGGACCATAGTCACCAAGAAAACAATTGGTAACACACTACGCCGTGAAGGACTGAAATCCTAGGTCCCCCTGCTCAAGAAAGCACATATACATGCCCGTCTGAAGTTTGCCAATAAACATCTGAATGTTTCAGAGGAGAACTGGGTGAAAGTGTTGTGGTCAGATGAGACCAAAATGGAGCTCTTTGGCATCAACTCAACTCGCCGTGTTTGGAGGAGGAGGAATGCTGCCTATGACCCCAAGAACACCATCCCCACTGTCAAACATGGAGGTGGAAACATGATGCTTTGGGGGGGGGTTTCTGCTAAGGGGACAGGACAACTTCACCGCATCAAAGGGACGATGTACCGTCAAATCTTGGGTGAGAACCTCCTTCCCTCAGCCAGGGCATTGAAAATGGGTTGTGGATGGGTATTCCAGCATGACAATGACCCAAAACACACGGCCAAGGCAACAAAGGAGTGGCTCAAGAAGAAGCACATTAAGGTCCTGGAGTGGCCTAGCCAGTCTCCAGACCTTAATCCCATAGAAAATCTGTGGAGGGAGCTGAAGGTTTGAGTTGCCAAACATCAGCCTCGAAACCTTAATGACTTGGAGAAGATCTGCAAAGAGGAGTGGAACAAACTCCCTTCTGAGCTGTGTGCAAACCTGGTGGCCAACTACAAGAAATGTCTGACCTCTATGATTGCCAACAAGGGTTTTGCCACCAAGTACTAAGTCATGTTTTGCAGAGGGGTCAAATACTTATTTCCCTCATTAAAATGCAAATCAATTTATATCATTTTTGACATGCATTTTTCTGG